CGTAAAGCCCACCTCAACCCAAGCAAGCCTCGGATACTAAACTAAAATCTTTAATTCATTTTATTTCATATTATCCCAACTTAATAATCATTTGATAACATCAATATAGTTAATAATACCATGCTATTCATAATCAATTTTTAACACAATATTATCCTTGCATTTCTCCAAATCAATATTCATAATTTTAATCTCTAACATAACATTAACATCTATAACTCGTAAAGCTTCTAAAAATATAATAAATCAAAATATATATAAGTTTTAAGGAATTACAATTAAAGTAAGTTGCATGGTCAAAGTGTCGACTTCACGAAAAGCGAGCAAAATGAAGCAAAAAGACAATCCCTCAATATCTTGTAAAGCTGAAATAATGAAGAGTGAGCAATCAATAGCTCGGTGAATAGACATTACTTAACATACTAAGGGAGGGAAACGAAATAAGGACAATACTTTCAAATTCATCTCTAAATGCGAGTGCTTATTTCTTCGAAACACATGTATATCGTAAAAACACATCGTACATCACAAATCAAATGGTTCAAAACTATTTCATATCGAATCATTAAAACATTTATCATACATATATCAAATTCATATGAAATCTCATATATAGGTTTTATACACCGTGGGGTAATAACGTATCATTGGGTGAGAACACCTAAAGGTCACGCTCTTGTGACTAAGTTTTTGCATGTTGGTCGACACACGAACTAGCTCTCTACCTCTCCCGCTAACATAGTCTCGTATCATTGAGCTCAAAGGCTACCCTCTAGTAGCTAGGTTCCTTAGGGTCTCAAAAATATTTTCAAAAACCAAACATATTTATATATTTTTCCAACCAATATTTCAAATATTATACATACATTTTTAGAAATTATAGGATACTCAAAATAACAAATATAACACATTCATTGAAATCTAACATCACATATCAAATTCGATAACACATTTATCCAACACATTGAAATCTCTTTTTTCATTCATATCAAATCATTTTGATATGAAAATATTTCAAATAGTATGAAGTCTATCCTATCTAAGTTCTACTATAATGCTTTTAAATCATTCTTAAACAATTATACATGATGAGTATAATCAAAGAAATATAAAACACATTATGATATATAATATCCACTCATAATACAAATGACGGATTAAATAGAATTCAAAATGATTGAGATGGAGTCGTTCGTTACGAAGAATCAAGCATCACAAAATGATGGAACATCCATCATACCATACATCAAAGAATAACTCAAAATAATGAATTGTTCTTGAAACAAGAATACAAAGTTATCAAAAAAATAGAATTGATCGAAGACTCGAACCGATGACCTTAATTAGACTCTACGATCTCTTTAATAGTTCTAATCCATTGCTTAACTAAATACTATCATCACCAATTCTTAATGAAATCATGAATTTTCAATTCAATCGTTTAATCATTCAATCCTTAATAAGATAATTAATTCTATCATAATTCATCCTATAATCATTCCATTTAACTTTAGTTATACTTTTATAACCTAATTCCTCATTTTCTTATTTTCAAATTTGTCACTATTCATTATCTTCAACCTTTCAATTTATCAAATTCACTTAATTCTACTTTAAATTAAATTCTTAATTCACTTACCCAAGATAATTAAATATCATTCAAGCATGATAATCACTTAGAATCATCTTTTTTCCTAAATGGGTCTCAAAGCCCTAACCTTATTCTAATCAATTCCTTAAGCATTCAACAAACCCAAAGCAATTATATTTCAATATCACCATCAACCACGCATAACCATCTCAATTCAGAGATTAATTGATCATAAATCTTACCTTCACACTTTGCTCTTTAAATCCCTAAATCAATCCTAGCTCTTTAAGCTTCTTAAGCTCCAAGCTAGCTAAACTTCATTTAAATCAACTAATTTATGGTCATCCTAAGCTAGTTTAACAAGGAATTAGCTTAGGAATTAAAGAAGGAAGTTTGGGAGAAATTTTAGAGAAAAATGCATGAAGAGGGAGAGGAGAAGAAGAGAGAAATTTATGAAAGGGAGGGCCGATTCATTGCTCCTATTTTATACTAGCCTCATATTGCCTTTTTTTTTTTTTTTTTCCGAGTTATTACACTTTCACTCCATAAGAGTTTTGGTCATTTTTTCATCAATCATCATCATATAAAGGATAGAAAATATACTCATTAAATAAAGACATCTCTTCTAAGTAGTATTAATCTCATCAACCACAACCATGAAGGTCTTCTAATTGAACAAAGGTCTTCCAACCATCTAAACGATGAAAGATCACATCAAAAGTAGATGTTCCTCGAGTGAGTGTCATATTATTGAGTACAAACGAAAGGACTATTTTATCCTCGTCTCATACAAATTGATCACACCATATCTATATAAAAGTTAGCACATCGAGTATTACATGTTTTATCTTTTAAATTTAAAAACAAATGTACTATCGGATATCTATTATATTTACGAGCTAATATACTAAAAGCTTATTTAGGTAAAATATCTCTTTTCGTAAGCTAATTTAGTCATTATATGATCTTTCAAATACCAGATTATGACTTGTTTTACATATATTCGCAATCGAATTAGCATACATTAATCTATAACAATCTCACGATCAATTCGATTATAACCTATTGCATCATTAATCTTAATTTGAGAACACGACTCCATCATTAACTAGTGTTTCAAACAATTCAATGATTGAGGCTTAAAAATCAACGTTGCATTGCAATCCTTCCTTAAAGATTCGAGTCACTAGTAACTTATTTGTCCAAACTTTTAATTGTTGGGTGTTGTTTGTTAACAAAAAGATGAAATATTAAGAACAAAAATAAAAGTTTTATTTTTATTTTACGAGTGCTTGGTCAAAAGAAATAAAGTAAGAATAAAGAGTGGATATGTGAATTAAAATTGAATAATTTTATTTCCATGAAAAACTATGAATAAAAATAAGAAATTTAAATGATTTTTTTTTCAAAATAATAATATAATATTTTTATTTATTCCGCATTACTTCTATCAACAAAACCATCGTCGCTACCATTATCGGGAGCGAAGATGAAATTATTATTTTTTTAAAATATCATTGTTCAATATCGGATCATCACTCTTTTTCCTTCACCACAATTATTTTTATTATATTATAAACGCTATCACTTTTCCTTCACGACCACCATCACTCTTTTTATGGTGCTATCTCTTATAATGATGATATTGTTTTTTTAAAAGATATATTATTATTATTCTTATTATTATATTGTTATTATTACCATCACTTGCTAGTCGATAAAATTATTATTTTTAATCATTTTTTTATTTATCTTAAAAGCTGATATTAAAAAATTTTAAATTTTTTTATTCTTTATTTCTATTTTAAATACAACATGAGAATGCAAATTCTTATTTTTTTTATTGTGGATATTTTATTTCTAATAATTAAAGGACACCTCGAATTTAAAAAATAATTGTTTTTTTTTATATATATTTTTTGGTTTTCTGAATAATAAGAGTAGCTCACTTTCTTTTCTTCTCGGTAGAGAACCAGTGACCTAAACTAGCCACCGGTGGTATGTGTATTAATGCAAAAGGTATTTTCTTGCTTTGTTTTTTTTTCGCAGAAAGATCGCTTTAAGCAGTACCCTTTTAATACCGTCTCTTTCGCTCGTTTTTCTCTTCCTTTCTTTTTTCTTTTTCCAGTTTTTTGTGTTACGCTTCGAATTCCGGAAATCAATGTTTTCTCTCATTGACTAATAACACCATTTGATTTATCTCTATTGAGACTTTGAGAAATGCATGGTGACATGGGATGATAATTACAGGAAAATCAACTTTGTTGATTTATCTCTATTGAGACTTTGAGAAATGCGTGGTGACCTGGGATGATAATTACAGGGGGGAAAAAAACAAGTTGACTGTTGATTTTTTCTCATAATATATATCAACACTAAACTTTTCGTATTCTGTGGAATTTGCTTTCATGTTAAAAGTATGAGACAATGATTGAAAAAATCCTCGCAACACCATCAAGGAGTTAATTTGTTGATGGAGATTGATATTCATGGCTATGAACAAGAATACAAAGATTATCAGATTGATATTCATTTCTTTTCAAATTATTTTGTCATCATCCACACTTTCTTTCTTTAACCATTCGTTCCATCAACTGCACTCCAGTTTAAATAAAACACTGGTAAATAACAGCATCATCAAAAAAGAAAAAGAAAAATTATTGTTTATCTATTATCAGTTTATATAATAATACCCTTTTAATGTTCTGATAAACTCAACTAGCTACATCAGAGCAAAATAGCGGCCAACCATATAGCTAAATAAATAAATAGCAGGAATATTCAGCGTCAGATAAAAGTAGTTAGAAAGAACACATCATCTTTAACTGGTTAAACAAACAATCCCTGCATTATTTATCATTATTCATTCTAAAAAAAAAAAAAAGAAATCCTTTATTTACTTATTTGTTGTTGTCGATATAGATATTAGTTTATTTATCGTTTAAACGGAAGATAAGATATACCGAAATAGAAACCGATTTTCTCGAAAAAAAAGAAAGAAGAAATAAACCAAAATAAAACTTTTGAGTTTGGTACTTGTGATATAATTTTAATTTAATTTGTCCGCTCCTTAATATATTTATCCTCGTGATTTCCCTCTCTTCATACTATTTTCCCTCCCTCTTTCCCTTCCTGAAAGATTTGATCAACTCGTGATCCTCTCATCCCTTATGTTTTCTTGATTGGATTAAATAACAACATTCTTATCCTTTCCCTTATTTCTATCTATCCCATTCTTCGTTTTCTTTTTTTTCAAAAAAAAAATTGCTATATAATTCCGTTCCACAATGTGGATTTTTTTGATGATTTCTAAGATTAATTGAAATTGAAGAGAGATCAAATTTTTATTTATTTATTTGTTATAGTATAGTGTAAATGAAGAGACGGCGATGAGGAGAGAAAGAGAGAAATGGAGATTGTTAGAGCTGAGAGTGGAGTAAGGAGCGAGAAAATAGCAGCGCCGGTGGCTCCAGTCATTGCTAGAACTAAGCGATTACAAGTTTGCTTTATTAGGGTTTGTTCCACTATTCTTTTATGGACCTGTTTGGTTCAGCTTCTTACGGTTGGAGAGTTATGGCACCCCAGTTTTATGACCAACACCACCGTCTCCCCCGTTAAACCCCCTCTTCATCATCATCCTCTTCCCCTTCTCCCTCTTAGTAAGTCTGACATTTTTTTTTTAAAAAAGAAAATTAATGTTTTACCTTTGAATGTATATCTGGATTTATTTTTTTACTATTTGATTTTTTTTGAAAAAATCAAATTCTCATATTGTAATCTGAATTCTTATTTGGGCAATCTGACATTGCAATTTGTAATCTCGGGGGGCTTGAGATTACTGAGAGTGGGATATATATAGAGTAAGGTTTGGTATTTTATTTATGGCGGAATTTGGTTTTAGCTAAGTTTTTGATTCTTTTAGTTAGTCAAGTGAAGTATTCATTTTTTTTTAAAAAAAAAAAAACCTGCAACTTTCGTAGGCTTTGGATGTTACGTTCTGCTTTCTGACTGGCTATATATTGAGAGATTTTTGATAGATTTTTTAGAGATCTGAACTTGTTATATTTTGAATTAATCCCAATCCCTGTAGCATTGTATAAATGGATTACTGGTGTATGGTGGTACATGTTATCTTATGCTGTTTAGATAATGTAGTTTTTGAATCGTTAAGAATTCATGATTTTTGTGGTATATTTCGAGTTTAAGTATTTGCATTGTGTGGTTTGGACATTTTAGGGTTGCAAAATGATTAGACATGGTTTGGAATTGATAATTTTTTTTTTCTCTGAAAGCTCTCTTGAGTGATCGTTTTGATTGATATGTTCCAACTTAGTTGTCCTCTTTTAACTCTGAGCTTTCTCCTGTCCCTGATTCTTGCTTTTGAATCAAAGTTCTTGAGTTTGGTGCAATTTAAAAGAGGTTCACACCATAAACACCTCCTTGTGTTTGAGTTTTACATGCATCTGAATTTACTATGTATTTTTATTCTTTTCAAAGAAAAACCTTTCTTGAAGAATAGTAAAAATGTCTTCCTTGTTTAAAATTGTGGAGGGACATTTTTAATATGCAATTAAAGCTTTAATGTATTGAACCTTACAAAACTCTTTTTTAATATTTATCATTAGGGTGTTTCTATCTACGTCTGTAGATAAGACATTAAGAACTGCAATTTTTTTGCAGGAAATTATACGAGTAATGGTTTTCTTAAAGTGTCTTGTAATGGTGGCTTGAATCAAATGCGGTCAGCGGTATGTACTTCTTTCACTAGTTTTCTTAATTGTTCTTCAGTCTGTTAACTTGTATAGTTTGGGATTTCAGATCTGCGACATGGTGGCTGTTTCCAGACTTTTGAATCTCACTTTGGTTGTTCCAGAACTTGATAAATCATCTTTCTGGGCTGACAATAGGTATTTTTTTCTGTTCTTGGCATGCTATGATATTTTCTTCTTTTGCAGTTCTTTAATATTAACTATACAATTTTTTCTGCAGTACTTTTGAGGAAGTATTTGATGTGAAACATTTCATTGACTCGCTAAGAGATGAAGTTCGAATTGTCAGAAGGCTTCCAAAGAGATTTAATAGTAAATATGGATACAAAGTATTTGAGATGCCCCCAGTTAGCTGGTCAAATGAAAATTACTACCTGCAACAGGTTTAAATACTTTTTACTAGCTTTTATTAGTGGAAAATATGCTTATACCTGGCATTATTTAACAGCGTGTCTAAAAATTAGTAGATGATTGTACAAGTTCTTTATTTTAAAGCTTGGCTTTTAGGTACTGAATTATATCTTCAATTTGGCTAGTCAGATTAGTGGGTTACCCTGAGAGAACATTAATTATCTTTAGAATGAAGGTTCTTATTCTTTCCCAAGCTCTGGTACGATCCTTCAGGTATCTGCTAGAATTGTCTTGAGAACCAACTTTATGCAACTTAGTGGATTTTCAAGGATTTCACAATTAGTTAGGAGCTATAGGTGGTACGAGATCATCTCCTTCTCTCCCAGTTGCATACAGTGATTCCAGACACAGAATTTGCGTGTCCTAAACTATGATGCTGAACTGGATGATGAATAGAAACAGTTGTGACTTCCCATCTAGGAAAAAGGAAAGAAGTGAAATCATTTCTCTTCGCTCTTTGCACATCATATTATAATTCTTCATATTCATATTGTATTTTTGTGTTTATATGCATGTGAAGTTACAGCAGGAAATGTGGAATTATTAATCTAATCAACTGGGGAAGTGAGCACAAAGAAAAGTAATCAGAGGATAAAAACATAAAATGAAGAGATTTGAGTACTCTGAATATGGTAATTAGAGGATTTGGTTGATTCTCAGTACTGTAAAGTAGTAGGCACAATAACGCCACCGCCAAAATTCTTCTATAACGATGGATTAGGAATGTGGTTCTGATATATAAACTTGAAAAGTATTGTTTCATTTATTTGTCTTGAGGTTCAAGGTTTTTAAAGTAATTTTAAGCCATTGGATGGTAAAATAAATTAGTCTTTCGCTGATTGTATGAGTTGTGACGTCATTTCCACTTTTTCTTAATAATGCTTCTTGTTTGATGACTTTGACCTTGTAATGCAGATCTTGCCACTTTTCAGTAAGCAAAAGGTGTTGCACTTCAATAAAACAGATGCACGTTTGGCAAACAATGGGATTTCAATTGATCTTCAGAAAGTCAGGTGTCGTGTTAATTTTCTGGCACTGAAATTCACTCCTGAGATTGAATCTTTGGGGTACAAACTGGTTCACATTCTACAGAAAAGAGGGCCTTTTGTGGCTTTGCATCTGCGATATGAGATGGACATGTTGGCTTTCTCTGGTTGTACTCATGGCTGCACCAAGAAAGAAGCTGAGGAGCTCAAGCGGTTAAGGTTTGTTGGATTTGAAAATTGACCCCTTTTTTTGGTATCTAGTTTATGATCTAAGTAACATTCTACTCCTGGAAAAAAATAACTGTCTTCAATCCTCATCATTTTTGGTCTGCTCAGCTGCCATGGGCCTATATTAGAGGTCTGCCTTCATTCAGTAGTTGCTTGTAGATATATATGACTTGAGAATGAAAATAGTAAATTGTTGTAATTGCTAAATATTTGACAATATAAATAATCTATAATCACCTTAAGAAAGGATGCCAACTTTGAGTCAATACATTATTTTCATCTATTTTGTACTTACAGTCAAAGTGGCTGCATTTTATCGTGGCATTTCTTGATAGACGTATCATAAACTTTTTAGTGCATTTGCACATTCCATTTAGGCTTGCATATCCTTGGTGGAGAGAGAAAGATATAGTTTCTGAACAGAGGAGATCACAAGGTTTGTGCCCATTGACACCTGAGGAGACAGCCTTGATTTTGCAAGCATTGGGATTTGACAAGGACACACAGATATATATTGCAGCTGGTGAGATATATGGGGGCGAACAGAGACTTGCAGTACTAAGAGCTGCATATCCAATGATTGTGAGTTAATAGCCATTCTCTCTGTTGTGTTATTCAAATATTAGCCAGTCTGGCTAAATGCTTTGCAACACTTGGAAATGTGTAGAAGAATATTAGTCAATAGTCAATATATGTTGAATCGCATCTGATTTATCGTTGCTTGTTGCCCATTTGCCAATGGGCCAAGCATGCAAACTGATGAGTTTGAATCTGGAGTTACAAAGCAGTTTCTTTTGGATTATTATTAAAGCAATGAACTAGAGAGCCTCATTTAGGAAGCCATCAAATGGTTGAAGCTGACTTTTGGAATATGCATGTCCTTAATAACTTATTCCTTATCATTGAAACTAGTTGGTTATCATTTTGATTGCATGTTTGCATGTTTCTTCTTTATCTCAACGTCAAAGGTTATTTCAGGTAAGAAAAGAAATGCTATTAGATCCAGGTGAGCTGCAGCAATTCCAGAACCATTCATCTCAAATGGCTGCGCTCGATTTCATGGTCTCAATAGCCAGTAACACTTTCATTCCCACCTATGATGGAAACATGGCAAAAGTTGTGGAAGGTCACCGCAGGTACAAACACCTGTTCTTACAAGGGGAGTTTAGCTTATATCATTTAACCATATCATTTTAAGCTTCTTGGATAATTCTCGATTGGTGTTTGAGCAGGTATCTTGGGTTTAAAAAGACAATCCTGCTAGACCGAAAAAGAATTGTAGAGTTGCTTGATTTGCATCAGAATGAGACACTTTCATGGAATGAATTTGCAGTTGCTGTTCGATCAGCACATGAGAAGAGGATGGGACAGCCAACTCGACGTAGGGTTATTGCAGATAAACCAAAAGAGGAAGATTATTTTTACGCAAACCCTCAAGAGTGCCTTTGTGAGGCAACAAATTGTGATGATTTATCAGGACCTGGTAACTCAAGTTCAATTCAGTGATTGCAGCAAATCCAAACACATTGAGATGGCGTTCCACTTAATTTTTGGTAAGCAGTGTGGTGCACATACCGTGTGGCTTTCATGGCAGGACTTCCTAATTGATCAACGTATACACACCTTAGAGATTTGTAAGGAACGACAGAACAGAAGTCCTTTGAGTGCCCATTTAGGCTATCAAAGGTCTCCTCATTTTTTATCTGTTGATATATTTATTCATTTCTTATGTTCATGAATTTCATATAATCCCACAGTTAAAAGTTACACCTGTTGCCTTCTCTCTGATGCATTGCTGTTTCTGCTGCAGAACTCTGTTTGTGAATTAACCGAAACAATGTTCAGGATAGTCCCAAGAAAGCCGTAAAGAAAGAAAAGTGTAAATGAAAGAAATAGATCCTTTTCTTTCCTAATGAAAAGTAAAATATACAGAAAAGCTGACCTCAACTTTGCACTAAGTGGCCAGCCCAAATTTCAAAACTTCCTGGCATACAAAATGCCATAATGTTTCCTGTACCACAAAATAGTTGCAATCGAATGTTGTAAGTGTTTCTAAAAACACAAAATAGCAGCAAGAGAATTAATGCAAGCAGAAACCAGCAGAGTGCATTGCTTGTATATGAATACAAGTAAGTGATGCGCGCGCCAACTGCCAAAGGTGTTCTTTCCTCTCAATAGAGAACTCACATAAAGGGCGTCAGAAAGTAATGGTCTGAGTATCTTGACTTTTGATACAGTTTTCTACTTGGATTCCCAAAATATAATTTCACCTTGCTCTCCAACTAGACCAAGATCCTTGAGCCTTCTTTCTTGGTAATATTCCAACTCATCTAATTCTGATTCCCTCTGCTTGAAAATCTGATCGATTTGTTGCAGCACCTTCTTTTCCCCTGCTCTTATTCCAACTGCAATCTCAAGCCTTGGGTTGAGTTCTTCTCCTTTCAGCTTCTCATCCTACATTTCACACTTGTATTCACTTACTTCAAACTTGTAACTATTAATTAAACATCATTAAAAACCATCTACTTCAGAATTTGGAAAGTAAGTATAACTGCTACGGAACAGGGGAAAGGCCGTGTGTGGTGTGCCAATAGTAGATTGCTCTGAATCATCTGAAAAAGCAACTTAATCTGATTCTTTTTCCATCAAATTGTGCATTAGACTAGTTTTATTTGAGCTCGATTATATATATCCTACGAGCATAATCTTAAAGATAAACATAGCTTGTAACCAAGGAAAAAATATATGATTATAGCTTAAGTTGCTTCGTAATGCCCAATTGCATGACTACTTAAGGATACCATGATGGCATGGTAGAATCTCGAAAAGATTCTCACTCATAAAGCATACTGAAACAAACATAAACATGTGTCAGTAAACATTAATACTGAGCCATTACAAGCTCTGTTGACTTTAGTTATGCAGTTAACTGTTTAATGATTTATTCGAGCTTAACTTGGTGACCTTGTTAAGACGGGACAATATGTATATACTGCTTTCACATTGATGTCAGGCATCTAAAATGGATTACAGAATAATGTATATCTTATCTGCAAGGATGACCTAGTACCTCTTCAATGGTGGTAGGATATCCAGAAAGAGCAGATTTGCAAGCATCTCTGACCACTCTACATATGAGCTCCTCATTGGCACGGCTTACTGGCAATTCAATATGGCCCCATATAGTGTTTCTGAAAATAGATTCCAAGAGGAATGCATCGGTACCCCCAACTGCTACCAGCCTCAGATATGGAAGCAGTGTAGGTGGAAGAGGATTGCCTAAAACAATGTCAAAGTCTGCAGTCTCACCCAGACCATTTGTCTCTGCAATATCCAGCTTGTCACCGAAAAATGGGTCTGATTCAGATAACTGAAGTGTCAATGTATACATATTGCGGTCTGGCTTCACTTCTATGAACCCATAGTCCATAGCCAACTCAGCATTGCTCATGTTTAAATTATATTGGATAAGAACCTGCTGAACAGTCCTCCAACTCAGTCATAATCAATAACAATATTGACAGAATCATAACTCAACGATACGATTAGAAGGTCTTTTCCTGGTAAAATCTCAAGGAGTGTGGGTTGCAGAGACTTGTTTAGCTAGTTCATCTTGCATGTTTAATTATTTCCACTGTTCTAAAACCATCTAATTATGTTTAACCCCCTTCCCCACATATATGCAGATATACATGCTTTAAAATTCTGTAAGGATGCCATCAGAAAATACACACTCAGATTCATTGCAAGCCAATGATACATATTATTTGATCGGTGTATCTAAAACCCAATTTTCAAAGCATCAGTAGAAAATTTGGAGTATTTCACCTGCTCACCAGCCTTGACTGAAATGGGGGATCGCAAAGAAAATATGAGATCTCTGGAGAAAAGACCTGCTCCTTTTATATCATAAACACCATCTTCTATGGTTATGTCAGGGCTGTGGTTGATCTGATTCAAGAGCCAGGTTTGCAGAAAATTAGGTTTTGAAGAGGAAGGAAATCATAAGAAATTCGCCACAAAATTTTGGAAATGTGATTCGCTTCTTTTTTTTTTTTTATTAGTGAATATAGCCTGTATATAAGCAGTTAAAGTTTTAACTTTCTCAAAACATTTTCAGGGCAGGAAGAGCTGCAAACTTCTGAGCCGTATATTTGCTTCACTATTGTCCTGTGATGACTGGGATTTGTATATCACATAGCTTTGTTATGCTATGCCAAAATCAGAATGCCTAAAGTTATGCAAGTAAGGTTCCCTGAAGTAAACTAACTGCATGGCTATATCACACATCCTTCAGCCTCAAGAATCACAGACCAGAAACCCAATTCTTTTCTATTTGTTGATCTCTTTGTTACTTTAAGCAATGTCAGAAACTAGTACTCAACATTAGTATCCACAAGTATTATGCACTTTGTATGCTTTAACTTGCTGCTGAAAATTCACTTGAAGAAAGAAGAGAAAGACCTTACCAAGTCTGCCAGGGGGATCAAAACAAGGTTTTGACCCCGGAGACGTGAAAATGATCTTGATCTGAGAATCCCAAAAGCCCAAAAGAAGTCATCCAATGTTATAGGGGAAGGAAAGAGCTGCTCATGAGGGATTAGGATTTCTTCTTCTACTTTCAGAAATTCACTCTGCAAATAACTTTTTACACCCAATGTTGTGCTCAAAAGTTGGGTTCCTGCACTTGAAATCAAGAAATTACAACGATGAATGATGAAGATAAAAGATTAGCAAATCCAAAATGAAAAATCTGGCATTAGAAACCATAAAAGTAGCTATACAAGTATAACCAAAGAAAATAAAAATGTAACGCTCACTCCAATATGCACATTATAATTATTGCTATATAGGAGTCTTGAAATTTTTTACCTCAAAATTTCATCTAATTTTACACAGAATACTAAACAGTTGAATTTACAACACATATAATGCATTCTGAAACTTAAGTTCTTGACATAGAACAAACAACTCCATTCATTTATATGTACATGATTAAGATGAAGCTAACCAAAGCAACAATAAGAACCCCACTTTTGATTCCCAAACTATAATTATCAACCTTTAAAGACTAATACAGCACTAATTCAATATAGTAGTATAAGACTAAATACAAAAAAGTAATGCAAAGATCACACTAACCTTGAAGCTCAGCAAGCTCCTCTTCTGACCTGCACTGGAATCCATTAAAACCACATTTTATTAACCCCAAAATCTGAATAAAAAAATCATTTAAGTAAAAACGAAAAAAAAAGAAGAAGAAGACCGAATCAATGATAACCACACCCACCAAAATATAGTGGAATTAGTACAATCAGGAAGCACATCCAAATAAGGTCTCCAAATAGAATCCTCCTTTAACTTCTCTCTTATTAAGAAAAGAGCCACAGATACCCAAGGCTTCACTCCACTACACACATTCCCTATCTCAGAAGCAGCAACTGCATCCGGGTTTATCCACAGCTTCTTTGGTATCTCCAAAACCACTTCATTTCTTGAAATATCTCTCTGTGCTACCAGTCCCAGGCCTTGAGGTACCACACCAATCTTTGCAGGAGTCTTGGCTGACACCACACCTTGATCACTGAGCCACTTCCAGAATGTTTGCACCACTGGTGCAGCTGGTGTCGTTGGTGACTGAATCGAGGTTATGAAGAGTGGTTTCTTGAAGTGAAGAGATGGGATCTTGGTGAAGGAAGTGAAGTTTTTGAAGGGTTTTGGAGGGGAGAGTGAGAGTGTGAAGTGTGTGGCCATTAGGACAGTTTCAGAGTACTACTTCAGCTTAGTAAGATAACGAGAAAAACTGTTTGTGGGTGATTTTCATAGCTTGTGGTTGCTCGCTTGCACATAGTTAAGGGTTCGAAACGGTGTGTCGTTTTCCATATTGAGAGACGTCTCAATTGTTGATAGATGACATGTCGTTTATAATCGAAAATAAATGTCGTTTGTGGTGCACACCCGATTGGCATTTTCCTTCTCTCTCTCTCTCTCTCTTTTTTCTTTTGGGTAAACAAATATCAGCGAAATTGCACTTAAGTATATGAACGTATTTTTCATTCATTTCAATCCTTTATATACAGCGTATTATTATTTGATAAAGTAAAGTATAGGTTTTGATTAGAAATCTCAATTAGGAAATGTATACTATGTAATAATTGCAAGGTAGATTGACAGGTTTTAGAAACTTCAGGGATTATTGTATAATTCTTTCAAAAAGAGCTCAGGGACTAAAATAAAATCATACTTAAATTTAGGGATATGTAAATATCTTTTGGCTATGGGAACTTTCGTTTCTTCACTTTATTTATTTATTTTTTTGCTTTCTTACGTAGAAAAATAAATTTAGGACCATAGTTTCCTATCTAGAACTTAGAAGTAGCAAATTTCTTGCTTTGGTTTGGCATCCATTTAAACTCCTTCTAGAATCATTTTCATGCAATCCACGGACATTAAATACTCTCCACCGAAAACACCTAACCTCATTTCTATTCTCCCTTTTCTTTTAAGTACATTTTTCTTCAATATATATATATATTCTCACAGGACCATATAAAATCTCTCAAAAATCAAAAGTCATGCCAAAAACCACCTATAGTTTGAACATTGCAGTGAGTGGTTTGAATTATCGGTTGATGTTAGGAATTTCACGATAAAACCCTCAGTAACATCATGAAAAAGGAGCAAATTTTCAATAAAAAAACCCATAAAACAGGTGGCAACCAGTAGGAAATTATTGTCCACAAACGTATCCGACGCATGGTTACAAAAAGTAAGCTGATGAGCCCAAAATACACAACCACTGGGTCTAAATTGCCCACCGAGACTCCAAAAAGTTCACTGTATTTGTCTAGTGAGGGCAGATGGAAAATATGGGATTTTGGGACTACTTATTTCATCCATTTGAAAACGAGTCCTTTCTACATTCTGCAGCAGTGTTCTATTATATTTTCTAAGGATCCACTTTTGACAATTTTGTTTTTATTTTTTCAAGAAAAGGATGCACTTGACAAAACAAAATAGTAATATATAGTGACGGTATAGGAGGAGTGTTTCTAATTAGGCTCGACAATGGCTGATCATGTCCTCCTCTGTTATCCCTAGGTACCGCCATACTTGACTCTAGAAAGAAGGAAAGAGCAGGGAAAGGGAAGAACAGGATTCAAGGGATTACTCCCCTTTCGATGACGAGTCTGTCCATAGACAATATATACCCTACCACCCATCCCATCACCTCAACATTTTCTAACCACTGTTTACTGTAACCAAGGAAAGAAGGAAACAGCCCTTCTTTTCCCCCTCTTTTTTTAGTCTCCCGAGGAACCCTCTTTTTGTGAGTTTCCTTGTCGTTATATACCAGAAAATAATTGAACATATATGCACAGATAAGTAGGAATCTGCATGTCCACGTGACTGCAATAGAGCTACTAACTCCCTACTCAATTGGAGAATTGTTTTATTGATAAAGAGCCTGCTATATATCTGATACGTATCAGATTATCTTGTGTTATTAATGTGGTATAAGATGGTAACACGTTGTTATACTATTAGTTTAATGTTATGATTTTATACAATTATGATCGTGTTCTTAGTTTTCCATCTGAGAAAATAAAATAACATGCTCGTACGTAAGTTGGGTTCTCTCTCTCTCTATATATATATATATATGTATATATATATATATATATATCTGTGTGTGTGAAAAGATTGGACAGACCCTGGGACGGAAAAAAGGAGACGCTTTTGATTCGTCAAGAATTTTTGTTCTTTCTCTTTTCTTTCGGTTTCGGAGACTTTGATGGACAGCGAGCATTGGAGAATTATATACATATCACCACCAGCAACAGCATGACTGGTTTTGACTGCTTCAGGGAGAAATCGTTATACCAGCTGCAGCACGTTTGAATATTATAAGGATGAAAATTCTCGTTCTTGAAAATTATTTGGAGGACGATGTAAAAGTTTATCTTTTTGGTTTTGCGCTTTTTTTTTTTTTTTTGGAACTGATGCCCTGTCTCCGCGTGTCTAAGACTGAATCTTGGAAGCAGAAAATTAAAAAACCTTGAGCAATATCAGATCTATTGAGATTCAAACCAAGGGATATTTCAATTTTAAACTTTCCATGAATTCAAGATTGGGTTTGGTTCTAATTTCTAAGGAAATAAAGCAAAATATCCTTTACAAAGATTTTTTTGAAATGCGAAATCTATTATTTCCATTAAATTTTCTAATCATAAAAAATTTAACCAAAACATACTTTAGTAAAATACAAAAATAATAATAATAAAATATTTAAAGTCACAGGGATTATATGTTTTATTTTTAAAATTTTTTATTTTTGATTTTTTTTTACATTTTTCATAAAAAATGTTTTGATTAAAAAAATATTTAGTCGGAAAAATTGATTAGAATAATAAATTGAGTATTTCAAATAATTTTAAAGATAAATAAAATATAATTAAAAAAATAAAAACTTAAATTTTTTTTAAGTATTATATAAAAACAAATAAGTATATTGATCCAATGATTGTTTCAAAAAATTGATTATCCTATACATCACCATCAAGTGGAGATCATAAAGATAAACAGATTGGATTTTTCTTTATGGACTAAGCTAGCTAATTACTAGCTTCTCACTATAAAATAGCAATGGTAAAAAAAAAGGTGGGAGATTGGTATGTGGAAAACACACACATCCACGAAAGAAAGGACAAAGAAAGCTCAATTAACCCTTAGATTTCAAGTTTTTTCTGAATGTGAGAACCTCAACACGAACTCTGATCTAATTTTTAGTCGACTCTGACAGCTTCCACGTCCTTTTTGGGTTAACAACTATTTCTACTTTCAATGCATCAAGAAGTAATCCTAGTGCGATGGATCCCTCCAATTAAGAGTCCTGAATGTGTGGCTAGTTCATACATATGAATCCTTTTTTTAATTAAAAAAAAAATCTACTCTCATCCAACATTAAAAATTCTGGTGGCCCGTCTCCCTCTCACGCGGTAAAATTAAAGTTCCTAGCCCACCGCCAGCTGTTTGCTTTTTCTTACCTCTGCAAGTTGTCGATCAGGACTCAGGAGAGGATAAAAATTCAATAACAGGAACACCTGCTGCTACCTACTGCTTTACTACTTATATAGCTGATGATACCTTCCTCTTATCAAAGCAGCTTTTATAAGTATTTCCTGTTCTAGTTGCTTTCTAATGATCAAGAGCAACTCTTCAAATATCCATCATACAGATTCTTCTTACCGAGCAGGGTTGGCTTGCCTCTCATAATTACTCGCAGGGATATTAATTATCAAACCTTGTTTCATATAAACAATCCAATACGTATCCGAAACGTGGAAAATGAAGTTTGGGAAAGAGTTCAAGGCGCAAATGGTGCCTGAATGGCAAGAAGCATACATGGATTATGATTTTCTCAAGACCATTTTGAAAGAGATACTAAGTTTCCAGCTAAGAACCAAGCCACCTGCAGCCAACCCGGGAGGCCTAAAAAGAAAGCTCTCGCTATATAGAGCCTTCAGTGGCCTGACACATAGGCATACTAACCACACCCCTAAGAGCGATTCTTCTCCTGATATTGAAAAACAGCCTATTTTGGTAAATTCTGTGAATCTAGATGGCTCTCATAGCTATGAGACTACATTTCTTATGCCTTCTGTGGAAGGAGGAGAATATGAGCTTGTGTTTTTCAGAAGGCTTGATGATGAGTTCAACAAAGTGGACAAGTTTTACAGGTCTAAAGTGGAGGAGGTATTGAAAGAGGCTGCTATGTTGAATACACAAATGGATGCTTTGATTGCTTTCAGGATAAAAGTGGAGAATCCCGCCGGTTGGTCTGATAGAGCAGCAGATATGACTCGTCTTGCTTCAGATGTTTCAGCTTCTACTGCTGCTTTGGCAGCTTCCACTCCATCTGGAGCTAGAGCAAGCAGTAAGTTCCCCTAATTGAAGCTATATATATGTATTATCGGTGCCTTAAAAAAGCATTTTCAAAAATTTCAATCATCTTTCTTAAATTCATTGCTAACTTCGTTTATAATCCTTCTCTTAATGTGCAGGAAGAGGACTACATTTAATGGATGTGATTGAAGAAGGGCAAAGCATGCATGAGCGATCAGATGAATCAAACCATGATAAAGTGGAGAAGGATAATATTGACAAGAAGGAACAAGAAGAAAAGCCGCAGAGCACGGATAGAAAGTTTAGGCCAGCCCCATTAGAGATACTAAACCGTGTGAAGATTAACAGCACAGTGGCGACTCCTCGCTCGACCATCAAAACCTTCCTTAAAGTTCCCCAACAAACAGAACTGAAATTCACAAGGGAAAATCTTCGGAAAGTTGAAGAACAACTCAAGGGTGCTTTTGCTGAATTTTACCAAAAGCTTCGCCTTCTTAAGAGTTACAGCTTCTTGAATACGTTGGCATTTTCAAAAATAATGAAGAAGTATGATAAGGTACATAAATCATCCCTTAGGAATCCAGATTTTTCTTCTCTTATAACTTATATTCTAATCCACAGGAGAGTTTGATATATTTTTCCCCAATGTGGTTTGGGTGATTCTGGCAGATTACCACAAGAAATGCATCAAAATTTTACATGAAAATGGTGGATAACTCCTACCTTGGAAGCTCTGATGAGGTGAGCTTAGTTTCTGTTTCATATATGATGTTCAAGGAGACATCGATACATTCAACATATATATATATATATATATATATATATATATATATATATATATATATATATATGTTTTCAATCCTGTACATTTTTGCTTATTGAGGATTCATTCTGTTGATTAATGCCTTATTTAACTTGCAATATGTATTCCATCGTAGGTTACCAAGCTTATGGAAAGGGTTGAGGCAACATTCATTAAGCATTTCTCAAACTCAAATCGGAGTAAAGGCATGCTCGCCTTAAGACCAAAAGCGAAGAGAGAGAGACATAGAACAACATTTCATATGGGTAATTTACTAATTAAGATTTGTGCTCCAACATGATTCAAGCATCTAAGAGTAAAAAAAGCTGCCTACTTTAGATTTTAGATCTTTTCAGCGCTGTTATTGATTAGTTGATAATTCTTAGAAAATTTGCAGGTTTCCTTTCTGGCTGCACAGTAGCTCTGCTAATTGCCCTAGTTTTAATCGTGAAGGCCCGCAAAATCATGGACAAACCAGGAAGAATTGTGTACATGGAAACAATGTTTCCTCTTTACAGGTAACACTATTTTTCTTTCAGCATACATGGGGTCTACACTACCATTACTTTCTACTTCTCTCCACTCAATTCAACCTAACAAACCTCATATCCCGACCTTTCAAGTTTGGCTATTATCCAATTGTTTGACAAGCTATATATGCTCAAATCTATTGCAGCTTGTTTGGATTTATCGTTTTACACTTGCTCATGTATGCTGCCAATATATACTTTTGGAGGCGGTACCGAGTGAATTACTCCTTCATTTTCGGTTTCAAACACGGAACCGAAATGGGCTACAAACAAGTTCTCCTTCTCAGTTTCGGTATTGCAGTACTAGCTTTATGCAGTGTGCACTTAAACTTTGACATGGAGATGGACCCTGAAACGAAAGATTACAAGCAGTTCACAGAACTTCTCCCTCTGAATGTGCTAATAGTAAGATTCTTACAAATACTCCCTTTCCTCTTCCGCCTTCCATTTTTCATGCATAAACTGATATTTTGCTTTCCCTGTAGCTCCTCCTCGTCATATTGCTCTTCCCATTCAACTTGTTTTATCGCTCAGCTCGCTTCTTCCTCCTCACATGTATCTTTCACTGTATTGCTGCTCCTCTATACAAGGTGAAAACTGGTGGCAAACAATCACAAATGTAGATATGGAACTTAAGTTTTTCGTTTACTGATTTTCTTGTAAAAAATTTCTTCTGCAGGTCACACTCCCGGATTTCTTCTTGGCAGACCAACTAACTAGCCAGGTTAGTTATCAGCCTAGGCTTTGTACTTCAATAGTTCAAAAACCAGTCTTTCGGAAGTAATAAAAAGCATCATTGTATTGATGTAGGTGCAATCCCTTAGAAGCCTGGAGTTCTACATTTGCTATTACGGATGGGGAGACTATAAACTCAGAAAGAACAGTTGCAGCGATAGTACTATTTTCATAACTTTCTCATTCATTGTTGCTGTGATTCCGTATTGGTCTCGCCTTCTTCAGGTTTGCAAGTAACTAGCCTAGTTGTCTGTGTATCTAACCAGCCCAGCTTTTTAGAACTTTCGAACATAATTTCTTTTGATTGAAATGCGGAAGCAATCACCACCAATTGAAATATATCACTTTTTCTTAATATAATTCAGAAATTAATTAAGTCGCATATCAACAAACAATTTTTCCTCTCTGTTTCAGTGCCTCCGGCGCTTGTTCGAAGAGAAAGATCCGATGCACGGATATAACGGATTGAAGTATTTATTGACAATAGTAGCTGTTTGTTTGAGGACAGCTTACAACATTAACAAAGGGGATGTCAATTGGAGAACAGCAGCTTGGGTTTTCTCAGTCATTGCAGCAATCATTGGCACATATTGGGATCTTGTTTTTGACTGGGGGCTTCTTCAGCGCCATTCTAAGAATCGGTGGCTGAGAGACAAACTCCTTGTCCCTCACAAATCTGTATATTTTGGAGCCATGGTTAGTGGCAAAAAGAAAAAACAGGGAACAAAAAAAAAAAAAAAAAGATACCTAAATTTGAAAAATCTCAAGTACTTCCCATAAAATTTTATCCTCCTAACAGGAACATTCATTTGATTTACAGGTCTTGGATGTCTTGCTGAGGTTTGCTTGGCATCAAACAGTATTGGACCTCGAGACTTCCTTGCACACACAAACCATGATTGCCCTTATGGCCAGCCTCGAGATCTTGCGCCGCGGCATCTGGAATTTCTTTAGGTAACAAAATTTTTACTGATTTGAGGTATATTCGAAAAATATCAAGATCCTTAATTACCAAGAATCTCTAGTTTAACTACCATTTTTTTTGGTTGAATTATCAGGTTGGAAAATGAACATTTGAACAACGTAGGAAAATATCGCGCATTCAAGTCTGTGCCTTTACCTTTCAACTACGTGGAAGATGATGACAACGATGACTAAGCTTTGCAGCAACATTTGACAAAACTGGTGGGAATAAAGAAATGAGAGCCATCGCACAAGTTTTTGACAGAGAATAAATAAGATTAAAAAAAAAAATCTAGTGGCAGCAGAGGGATCCAAATTGTAAATTTTTAGATCTTATTATCCCCTTTCTGTTTTACTTTCACTCAAGTACAAAGTTGTAGAGCAATGCCTCCCAAGTGTGTCAAAATGTCATTTCCATTAAGTGTTTTGACCATTACAATGTGTCTTTACTTTCTATTCTTTCAAATATTTTGATTTAGACTCTGAATTTTTTTCTTCCGTAATGATTAAATCTTGCTATTTTTTATTTTATTTTTTTACTATAATATTTTTAGTTATGAGTTAACGTAATTTTAGAAATATGACATGTGTCATATATGATATGCCAATAGAAAAATTCAAATTCAAACAAATTATTATTTTTTTAAACAAATTATGTTATTATGTTTTTAAAATCTCATCTTGAATGTTGCAAAATATTCATATATGAGACTTATCACAATAAAACTCTGAAAAATATTTTTTAAAAACATATTATAATTTTTTAAAAATAATAAAATAAATACAAAACAAACCTAACTTGTAATTAAAACCAAAATAAAAATATGGAGAATTATATTTATTAATTAGGGGTTTGTTATTCATCGATATTGCATATCATCATTTTTATGTTTTAATAATTACATGTTAGGTCTTTTTTCTTACATATTATTTAATAATATTTTTAACTCATTATAATAATATTAAAAAAATGCAGACTTTTACAGGGATGGGGCCTTGATATTACACATTTCATATGAAGAGATCTTATGTATTATATATTTCAAGCATTTAGTATGAGGTTTAAGAAAAAATAATATGAAAATTAAGAAAAAAATAATTTATTCTTTATACTCTTTAATTCGTTTTAATTGGATTATAAATATGACACATGTCACATTTTCAAAAATAAACACATCATATCAGCACTGTATGCATTAACTCACAACTGAAGACGTTATGATAGAAGAAGGAAAACAAAATAAAATGAAAAATAGAGAAATTCAATAAACATTAAAAAAAATACAAGATTTGGAACAAAACAATTTAAAAAACAAAAACCCATATAATAGACAAAACTTTTTTAATAAAGTAGTTGACTAATTTTACAGTGACGTGGTTTTACATATTACAAATTTGATGTGATGAAATCTTACCTATTACACATTTCATGCATTTACTATGAGATTTACTAATAAATAACATGAAAATTAAGAAAAACATAATTTAATCACTGCACTTTTCGAATTTTTTTAATTAGATTATTTTATTAGATTTTTAGTATGACATGTGTCACTTTATGAAGAATAGAGATGTTTTGTCAGCTTACAACTAATAACGTTATAACATAAAGAAAAAATAAATAAAATAAATAGTAAAATACTCAATAAAAAAAATACAAGATCTTCATTAAAATAATTCAAAAAGTAAAAAAGGGTCTGAAACAAGGAAAAGAAACGGTGGGTAGAGCGTGGCTAAAATATATACGGAGCAAGTCAAATGCAAGGTGCTTGTTGATATTCCAAAAAACGGAGGCTCTTGAGAAATTCAAATCATGGAGGGTCTTCTTTCCACGAACCTTCACCTGTAACTTTTAACTCATCTTCAAATTCGTGTTCTATCTTCCTTCGATACCCGAATCAATGCCAACACACTTAACTTTCTCTATACATTTAGAAAACCCTTTGCGCATTACAGGGACCGAACCAATCGCATTACATGGAACCACTCGGTCCACTGCAATTAATCACAGTTCCAGCCCCTGTTCGTCAGATGATTTTTCTGTATTCTATACTAGTGGTCCAGAAATCCACGGCAAAGCAAGAGGACAAATCAGAGATTCGTTGAAGTAAATTCTCATGTCAATTGATTCAAGGCATGGATAAATGCCATATTCTTGCAAATTTGATATACTTGATGCCCTTTAAAATGTACCACAAAAGAAGATGAACTTTGAAGCCTTTTTCATATATTTAAAGATCATTAAAGAACAAAGCAATTTTTTTTTTTCTGAATTACTGTTTTTCAGTGTATAGAAACAAAATTCATCATGGCTTTTCAGGTAAGCTAGCTGTTTCAAACTGCCTGTTATATGTGAGTATGAGAGTAGGGTAGCTTAATGATTCCAGAAAAGAGTCATCTCCATCAAGGAAGAAAAGGGTGTTGCCAGTGCACATGATCATCCTCAAAGCAATATAATTTCCTCATGGCAGTAATGTCGAATAGATTGATTGTTCGTCTTCATGCTTAGTCATTCTTGTCGATCAATAGAATAAAGTCGTCTTTGATGCCTAGTCATCCTTGTCAGCATCAGTATCATAGTAAGTGAAAGGAAGAGGGACCGACTTGAATGCTCGATACTTGCCAACATTGTTCAAGTGCTCATTCTCCAACCTAATGGAATTTGACCCATTTCTCAAAACACGAATTACACATAAAAAATCACTGGATAAGAATTTCATTCAAGACACAAATTTTTTAGCCCGCAACGGTTTCGCTTATCATTGTATACTGCACGCAACCTCCATTACCACAATGCAGCGGTTGAACATATGGTGGGGCAGTTTAGAGGAACAAAAGAAAAATAATTTAGAGTTCAATACTTGATCCTAACTAAATGAAGTTGGCTACTTAAATTTTCTTCCATTTAGTTCTCATCCAGAGCCATATCCATTGGTCGTTATTTAATACACTAAAGGAACGAATGCCTATCATAATTACCTGAAGAAGCTCCAAATACCTCGGCGAATGATCTCTAGGCAAGAAATTGTAGTTAATACCGCCATTTTGTGAAGACTTGGCAGATTAAATTCTAATACCAATTGCATCCAAGCAAGCCTCAGGACTACATTCAATACCTGTCATGAAACCTCATAAACATATTGGATCAGTAGCAAGTCAGCAATTGCAACATTATGTCAAAAGTTTTAGTACTTGACCTTGACCTTACCATAGCTGTAAAGTAGACACTTTTATGTGAAATCACAAGTTTGTCTCTCAAAAAAGGGTTCTCCGATTTTCTTCTCAAAAGCCCCCAATCTAATGCAATATCCCAGTATGTATTCACAATAACTGCAACAGCTGAGCTGATCAATGCCAATACCATCCATGTCCTTCCCTTCTTTAGTTCATAAGCGGTTCTAATTAGAACTGCAATAATCGTCAAGAAGTATTTTAAACCATTATATCCGTGCACTGCATCTTTCTCTTCACACAATCGACGCAGACACTACCAATTATATGTAACATGTGTTAGTACATTTTTCAATAGCTAGCGATTCATTTAAGATGCTTACTTCAGACGTTTTTTTTCTTGTCATTTTGAAGTATAATAAAGTCCTGAAATGGAATTGAAGTAAAATATCGAATCAATAGAAAGGTTTTTGTCCTCATTTTATGCCTCAGTGCATGGGCAGAGGAGTAGTCAAAGTGCTTTAATTGCTTGAATTGTGATTGTGCAAACACAAGGAGATTGGTTAGTTGGATATGCGGCATATCTGGTGTTTAAATCAAGAGGAGAATTCAACAACAGCATGTTTACTTTTCAGAGTTAACCAGGTGATTGGCTGGGAATGTGAAACTCGAAACTGAAATTGAACAGTATTCAATGACACAATTTCATTTTGAGCAGGCAAGTTTGCGAAAATCAACCAAGCGGATTCCTAAGAGTGAACAATCAAGGCGGTGAAGGTAATTGTTCCTCAATAGCCCACCGTGATTATGAAAAAATGAGGACCTTTCCCAGTCAGAGCTGCAGCAGTGACATCATTGAAATGCTTAATTTATTGTATTTAGGAGTCTTTTCCAGTTGTTGCAGCTGCAAAACTGATATCTTTAAAATAAATAAATAAAATCTAATTTTATATTAACTAGTGAACTCATATAATCCCCTCAAATAAACTGCGGCCAGAACTAATGTATTCCGAGAGACTCAACAGTCCAAACACTTCTCTCAAATGTTCGATTAGATACATTATCACCATCGATACTGTAGAAAATGATATCATATGCAAGATCAAATTTGGGATATAAGAAAAGAGTGGAGAAAAGAAGCGCTACCTGCAAAAAGCGGAGCCAGAAGGGCACTACAGCAACAACAAAATAGAAAGCATTATATGCACCATGACTATGACATTTGTTTTGCCTCCTGGAGTATTCTCCCAAACCATAGTAGCAAATGTACAACTCGATACTCCTTATTGCTTGGACCTGAGGCGGTCAAAAAGACGAAAACACTACAATCAATTTAAGACTTGCAATCTTTTCTCATTGTTGATGCGAGGGTGTAGTTATTAACCTGGCTGGTGAGGTGGTCTGCCAAGAAGAAATCTGCAAGTCTCACCTGCAAACGTTTTCTGTCAAGAAAACTTTTCCAACTCACCTTAGTTAATCATCTAATTATTGAGGTTTAAAACGTTTATAATTTTTTACCTTGTAAAATGGCGCACAAATACAGTGTAACAAACATCGAACAAAGAAGAAACGACTTGAACGATATATGACGTTGAAAGGGCAGAACAGGATGACAAGAACAACCTATATGCAGAAATACATGTATTGAGTTATACAATCTTTAACTCTTAAACCTACCATCCCATTTTTACAACGAAACCACAGTGTTATGCAAAATATCAAGTCATTTCCAAAAAGCAGCAGTTTTTCCTCTACATCCCATGTAAAACATTTTAATTAAAAAAGGTTTAGTTACTAGTAGAATCTTACAGTGACCAAGCACAAAGGAACAAGTTCAGTGATTGTTTTGAAATTTGAAGCTTTAGAACCCAAATCCAAGTATATATTTGCCAGGAAGCTGGATAGTGCAAGTACTGAAAGACCAGTGCCCAAGAGGAAAACATCTCGATGACCCAGCTCAGTTCCTTGCTTGAAACCAAATATAAACGGGTAATTGATACGATACCGCCGCCAGAAGTATATGTTTGCCGCATACATAAGTATATGCAGGACTGTAAATGCAAATAAGCTGCATAAACCACAGGCTGGGTAAATATTTTTGGAAATTTTTTATTTGATCAGTTAAAAAAGGTAAAGCTTCGTGGAGGTCTATGGCTGCCACTTGCCTGTAAAGTGGGAAAATGTTGACCATGTATGAGGCACCTTCAGCCTTATCCAAAAGCTTTCGAGATTGTATTCTCAAAACAACAGCAATCAAAAGTGCAATTGAGCAGCCAGAAAAAAATCCTGAAAATGACAAAACAGAACATGAATAAATCAGTGCAGCCACAGAATCGTGACTCGTACTCCAATATGTCTCTCCAACCTTGAAAATCCATTACAAACTTAATACCAACTTGTTAAATAGGTTTGATGTACCATCTTTAAGTTACTACTGTCACTTGCCTGAAAAGAATGTTACACTGTGCTTTTCTCTTTTTGCTTTTGGTCTCAAAGACTTCATACCTTCCCTCCGATTTGATTTTGCAAAATGCTTGATGAAGGTAGCCTCCGCCCTTTCAAGGAGACTGTTCACCTATAATAGCCTGCTATTAATCAAAAAGTTTCCCCTCCCTTTTTTTCTATCAGATACTTTCCCAGATTGTTGAAGAAGAAAAGATGATCTTTCTTATAGAGAGAACAGTTTTCACAAGTTTCAGAATTTGTGCTAGGAGCAACACTGATTTATATGTTGTGTAGCTCAAGTGCTAGGGAAACTTTTGTTCATTGTCAATATGTAAAAAGAAAAGAAGTATCCTAAATACAACATGCCCAACACCTGTGATCTTATAACTAGAACATGGATGAATCAAAGAACCTCATCAGAGTTGCCAAGGCAGGAGTTGTCCACTATTTTCATGTATGATCTGGAAGCTCTTCTTGATGAGATCTGCACTATTGCAAAATAAAACATTAAACAGGGGAATTTAAGCAAGAATATAGTTTATAATACATGAGAATAAGTGTTCCTGCCTTCCCTCTTCCAACCCGCTTAAAAAGGTAATAAAGAAAAAGAAAAGAGAAGAAAAATGCAAAACGAAATGCTCTATTTTGACTTGTCGTCAATGTATGCTATAAGCATTTGGAAATGAAATGTAAGAGAACATTAAATCCTTTAGGTAAAAGTCTTGACCTTCTCGTACTTTTTCATGATCTTTGAAAATGCTGCAAGGTTCATGTAACTGGTTCGACCATTTGCAAAATAATAAACACACAGTAAGTCTATGAGATCAAATGCAATAACATCTTTCAATAGTAGAATTTGTGCAGATCATTGAAAAACTGCCACCTGTAGTGCTTTAGAAGAAGAAGTTTCTGGTAGAATTCGATTAGCACAACTCTCAGTCGCTCTTCAACTTTCTTCACTTCCTCTTTCTTGAAGCTCAGCTCCTCTTCTTTTGAATCCTTAAAGACACCTTTTATGGTTGATAGTGGAGATTTAAGAGAATTATTAATCTTCACGCGCTCAAGTACTTTCATAGGATCTTCGTTGTAGTCAGTGAGGTTGTCCTTCTCTTGGTGAGCATTACCATAATTTGTGGCATGAACTTCGTGTAATTCTGGACCATGAGTAGACTCTTCTTGCTCATAATCAGTTCTTCTATCCACCTCAATGGTCAATTCCATGTGCCCTCTTCCTGCATATTGGCACACAAGAAATCTAAACTTCTTAAAGTGGAGGAAGCGAGTGTAAGTTTCAGCTGTGATAAGATTAGAGATGCATCACCACTCTGTGCATAAGTAGATTTCTCTGGCTGAAAATCGTTACTCGTCTCAATTTCGCGTCCAACATCCATTTCCTGCAATCCTGCAAATAATATTGCATATAATACTGAACTATAGTCCTTCATGGGATTATAACCAAAATGTCTTGCAGATTTGAAGTTACGAGGTGTCACAATGATAGGAGTCACATAGATAATTTAGATATAACCTTGGATCCAATATCACAATATCTTCTAAGTTAAAAAAATTGAAATAAAATATAATAAGGTAGACCAAAAACTTTAAACTCAGCCATTAAAAAAATCCTTCAATTATAGGTGCTTCTACTCTGTAACCAACTTAAAACAGCTAAAATCATTCTCGGTCCATTTTTCTGATCTCTCTGTGATTTCTTGCTTCTTATTCAACACTTAAAAGGCCGTATGGAGGATGCTTTGAAACTCAACTGACAAGTGACAAATCACACTGTAAATGTAGCTCATACCTGAAGTTGTATCTCTGCTTGGACTACATCTCTTCAAGGGGTTTGTGGTAACAACACCAGTATCACAAGTTTTCTTCGCATCAGAGCCATCAAAATCAGGGTTTTCCATCTTGATCCGCAAGGCAATCAAGGCATCCATTTGTTTATTCAGCAAGTGTGCCTCATGCTTCATCTCCTCCAACTTATCCTTGTAAAATGTGTTAACCTTGTTAAGTTCTTCATCAAGTTTCTTAAAGAACTTAGCCTCTAGCTCGCCTCCTTCTTCAGACTCCCTCAGGAACTCAGTCTTATAAAACTTTCTAGCATCTTGGGGCGAGGTGTTAACTTCTATCACTTGGTCCTCAATATCCCCTTTACTGGGGAGGTTGGTAGATTGTGGGTTTAGTCCACTGAAGGGTCTATGCAGAGTTAATTTGTGATGTACGGCCCTCAAAGGTGTGGAGGGTTGCCTGCTTTGCTTGTACTGCAAGATCTCTCCCAATATTCTTTTAAGACCATTATATTCCATATAAGCATCAGTCCATTCTGGCACCTTTTGTTGCTTGAACTGCTTTCCGAACTTCATCTTTCCTTGATCTCTTCCAAATTCACCTTCGCTATATTAATATTCACTCTTACCTGTATTCGAATTCCAAGAGATTGAAACTGCATGTTTAATTTGAGCAAAAACAGAAAAAGGGAAGAAGAAACTCCAATCATCTTCTAGCATTACAAAGCCTAAAAGTAAAAGAAGAATTACAAAAACTGATACATTGATTACTCAAGAAGCAATAAATAATTTCAAAAAGAAAAAGAGAGAGATTGAAGACTGATAGTATAATAAATAATTACCCTTCTTTTCTTTGAAGAAACAAGAACAAAAGCCAGAAGGAATTTTCACGTACTCGGAACCGACATTGCCATTGAAGATTTCTTATTTACGTGTGTTTTTCTCTCGCCTTCTCTTCTTTCAGAGGTCTGATCTTATAACGCGCCCGATAAAGCTGCACTCTGTTGCACTCCGTTGAGTTAGTTATTATGCTAAACAAAATCTGATGCTAATAATAAGAATGATTTATCCGCATAATTTACCCTTAAACTATTGGAATTATAGTAAAATAAAGTTTATATTATCAATTTGGACTATGTAGATTCTAAACTATTAAATTGCATTTTGTTTTTTTTTTTAAATAAAATTAATTTCAAATAAAAATTTAATAATTCAAAAAAGGTTTGCTAGATGGATTCATCATTATACGTCAACCATTATTAATTATCTAACAACAAAATTTAAATTCATAAATAAATAAAAAAATATAAGCTTCCTTAAAACTGATTATTATATTTAAAATTAATTTTAATTCTAAAAAAAGTAATTCATTTTTTTATTATATGGATTCATTTGTTAAGTTATGAAAACTGATGTAAATAGAAGCTGTAGCATATGACATTATGCAAAGCCAACACTGCTATCTTGCTAAAACCAATTAGAGGGTTGCCTCTTGAAGACGATCGGGGACGGAACTCTCGAAAATTTTACAGGATATTAAGCTAGGTGTATTGGTATGTTAGTTTTTTTATTATAATTAATTTTAATTGTTTACACTATAAATAAAAATCACATCACTTATATTTGAGCTGCCATTAACAATAACCGATAAGAAATCTTAGTCTAGTTGTAAAGTAAACATAATTGCTAAATCATGTAAAATATTTATATTGTATGATTGTTGTTATCTTTTTACTTTATTCTTTTGTTTGATTAGTTTCCTAACACCTACATATTATTAATTATCCAACAACAAAAGTCAAATATATAAAATGTTATTAAATATATTTTTTTCACAATTAATTTTAATTTAAAAAAGAAAATGGTTAAAACAACATTTTTTTAAATTATTTCGGTTAAATGTGAGCACTTTGATTGTCAAATATAACCAAAAAAAAAAAAATACCCATAACTTAATAGTTTAAAAATCAAATAATTTAAATTAATAATATAAATCTTATTTCACTGTCATTTTAATAGCTTAGAAATAAATTGTGCCATTAAACCTTTTAAGAATGCACTCGTCTCGTTTCACCAATTATACTCGTGATTTCGTTTTACAATTGGCATTTGGATTGACGCACCATCAGTAGATTGGCTGAAACGAATTACGACTCGGTGGAGACAGAGGCTTTGTTCCAGCAACCATGTATCTGTTATTATCTCGGTGCGACGTAGCATGGTTTCCGCTAATGACGTGACACGCGTATTTCGTGACTCGCGTCTCTTGGAGGGAGAAAATGAGAACGCGGTGCTGCATGAAGCATTTTATAAAACCTAGATTTTTTTGCTTCAGGAGAAACTGATGTCAGATTGGATAACTCTAATCATCCTTGTTGTCTCCTAGAAGTGTAGACGTGGCTGCTTTGCATGTGCAGTAGAATAACGTCTCCCTTGAACGGTAGAAAAATACTTACCTTGAATTACGAATTGCAAAACAGTAAAGGTAAGTTTCTGTCATGTATGGTGGTTATTAACATGGGTATTATGGTAACCTTCATCGCTTTTACGGTTTTAAGAATCACCAACGTTCAACATCCTTGCAAGGTTGGTGAATTCATTTATTGGAGTAAAATTGGACCTTAAGTTACTTGACACAATGCCACATGACCTACCAACAGAACACGTTGAACTTTTTATTTTCCAAATAAGGAAGGCACAAACTAAACCATGAACTACGCGCCTGTTCCAAAAAAGAAAAGAAATACAAGCAATTCACAGGCATTCCGCAAACTTGTCCAAATAGTCTGATGGGAAAATTAGATATACTCTTTAAGGTCTCATTTCAACAACTTAATTCATACAACTTTTATAAACCATACCTAGCTAAATAATATGCTTCTAATATATAAACCCGATTAAGTGTAGGTCTTTCCAATTGTACTTGGGTTAACGTTTGGTGGAAACTGATTCCACCCCCCACAATACCACACAGTCTACATTTTGGATCTTTTCTTAACTAATATTTCTCTTTCAATAGTAAGGACAAAAATTCTCATAAAAGATTTAAGAGGAAAAAAAATGTAAAAGAACAACTAACACAGAACATTCCACGCTCCTACAAGAAGATCATTTGTTCAGTCTTTTAACAGTTTCGCAAATTCCAACCATGGAAATAGAAGCCTAAATACTTGGCTCTATAGGTTATCATTGAAAGCCGCTTCACGGGTAATTTATTTGGTCACATTGTTTAGTTATTTCGCTCACCATTCTTCCCCCTGTCTCCACTGCAACAGTAGAAGTGCGGCAACTTAACTTGACCACAATTCCTGCAATCAAACAATCAATTACAGGACATCACTTAAAATTAGAATATTCTGTACTCATATGCAAATTGGAGCTGGAATCAAACACAAATATCATCCTCAATTTTAGAAGCAGTTGTTATAAGAATTAACGATGGCTTTGAAATGGAATGATGGATAGCATTCGAGGTTTAAATGCAATTACATATAACAGAAGTCAAAATGAGTTTATTCATAACCATGTCCCCGTTACAGATGAGGAAAATATTTTCAATTGAGCAAGTTTACCTAGGTCAACCAAACATTAGAAAGTGAGGAAAATAGTTTATGGAAGCATATTTTACATAAAACAAACATAGCCTTAGTTGTGGGACAAGCAACTTGCATTGTAAGTTCTTTCTTTGGTTCAGTGTCTCTATAGAGGTTTATCTTTTCAGGTTTTCATAATATAAAACAGTCAAATTTTTGCTTCATATAATAATTTCCATAAATGGCCATCATTGACAAATCCTTACTTGCAGCGAATAATCACTGGTGTAGGTTTCAATGCCTTTGGCCCATTTCGTATGACCTCTCTTATGGGGAGTAGTCTGCATGATGATAAGACTTAAGAATCACCACCGAACATTAAAAAAAGGAAAAGAAAGAAAAAAACCAATTCAATGAAACGTGCAGAAGAAAACACACACACAAGAACAGATTCCACTGTTTAAAACACCATATTCATGCATATGAGAAGCAGTTACCATTCACCTGAAAATGAATGTATGAAGTCATGCATCAACAGACCTCACAACTGAAAAAACTTATACATCATAGATCACCAAACAGCTGAGAAAAAGGAATGCTCATGAAAGAAAATCTACTTCCCAACACATTAGGTATGCTGATTACTCAGAGCAAATTCCCCAACATAAAATGGACCAATATCTGAAATATCATGGTCAGCCTTATTGCACTCTAATTATGGAACCAAATTGACTATTGCAGCAAAATCCCTCAAAAAAGAAGAAGCTTACTCTCATCACACCAAATATAAAAACAACTTTACAGAAACAAAGCACAAGAAACTAACATTTTCGTCTCAGTACACATCAAATTCACAAATCACAATTTCTTTGGTAGCCTTATTGTCTCGTTTTAGCCAGCAATACCTACTATGTAGTTATGTACTAATGCCTCAATGCCCAGAGGTTTTCCAGCAAGGTTGATCTTTAACATGTGTTGGGATCATCTCTGGTAGTCTAATGTCTCCTTTTGGCCAGCAATACCTACTATGTAGTTATGTACTAATGCTGTAATGCGCAGAGGTTTTCCTGCAAGGTTGATCTTTAAAATGCGTTGGGATCATCATCTTACAGTGGCTCTTACAAATTGTTGAAAACACATGCAGTGGATTCTTCCACAATGATATATACCTTGTGCTTTGTGTTCTTTTACTTCTTAGATAAGTTATAGGTTTGGGCATTTCAAAGCCAAAAAAAGCATCATAAATAAACTGCAAAACTTAAATTCCGTCTTGAAACAAAACAATCTAAAACGACAGCTCCGAATCCTCTGAATGATTCTAATCAGACAGCAGTTTGTATATAATATTAAAACACAAATGGCCCATTATGAAAACTAAAATGAAAGGCATCCATTGTCTGAGAAAAAAAGTATTGTCGCACTAATGTTTCAAAACCATTGAAAATAATAATAATAATAATAATTTCCAGACTTTCAAGTCAGATAGGCATATATTCTAAAACCCGAAACCCTAATTATCACAAATAGTCCAAACCCAAATTCTAAACATCAACAAACAAAAAAAACCGAAAAAGAAAAGGCATAATCACAAGAAAAATAGCAATCAAATGCTTAATAATAAGAAACAGAAGTGGAGTGAATAAATTTACCTTCCTTTTAGGAACAGCCATAAGTTCCATAGACCCAACAACAGAAAAACCCGGCAACCTGAACCCGAAATCGCTACCGTTGTCGCTGGTGTCTTGGTTTGCATCGAACTCGGGAAGGATGAATTGTGGAGACGCAATCGAGCTTTCTAAGGCGCCATCCAACGGCGAAGCCATGGATGCGACATGGGCCCACCTCTTCGTTCCTAACCTAAACCCGTTGTTGCCTTCAGCAGCGCATTTTAACGTTCCCAGTCTCAACGCCATTGTTGTTCAAAAGTACAGTGATGTAAACCTTTCAGTCCTATTTGAGTTCAAACCTGTAAAGAGCGAGCGAGGTTGGCTTGTTAAAAGTCATACGGTGTCGTTTGTTTTACTTTCTTAAAAATTGCAATAACAATTAACCAGTACCCAAGAAAAAGACTACTAAATGCATAATTAAAAAAATAAAATTGTTATTTATTCTAAGTGGAAACACCAGAATTACTCTAAGAGCCTAATAATTATGTCCAATTATGTCAAATAAATTTAAATTTTTTAATAAAAAAATAATTATGAATAATGAAAAACAATGAAAAAGCTATTTCTTGTTGTCGCTACAATCTCTGTAATATGATTTTTAAAAAAAAAAAAAAAGAATTCATGATAACAAGCTTTTATATAGCTTATATTATAAGATACAAATTAGTATAATGCGATAGATACTTAACTTATTTTTTTACTAAAGTGATATGAAATTATGCAATTTGTTTTTTATCAATTGCTCGATTTCATAATTATAATTATCACATTGTGATAAAATCTACATTTTATAATTTGAAATTCTTATCTTGTAATACAAGTCACGTCATTTGGTAAGCAAAACTTGGTAAAGAAATTCAGCATCCCTAGCATTACCTATTAGGGTTTTTCTAACACGTGCCTTGAGAGCACGCGTTAATTGATGTGATTGAAATGTTTTAATTTCAATAATTAACAATATTGAATTATGGATTAGGATTTAGTCCATTGTGAAAATGAATCTACTCGATTAAGAAAGTAAAACATTGTATTTATATTAATTAACATGTATTTTTAAGCATCATTTAATTAACAAAAATGAAAAATCTATAATAAAAATATAAAAATCGAAACAAGAATTAAAGTATCGGAACAACATTTTCATTCCAACACAGTACTTAGAATGATAATAAAAAATTAAAATAAACTTTAAAATTTGTAATACTTGATTTTTAAGACAAATAAAAATAATGATTGAAAAATTTTGTCAATTGCTATGGTAATAAAATTAATAAAAGTAACGATGATGGTGGGGTAGCGGATGGGAGGAGGAGTGGTGAAGGAAAAATAATAAAAATATTTATTCTTTGAAAATTAATTTTATCACCACAACTAGTGATGAAGATGGCAACATCATTGTTGGAGGTGGTGATGATGATGGTGGTAAAAATAATTAATACGCAATAAATAAATAAAAATATATCATTATTTTAAATAAAAAACTCGTTCTAATTTATTATTTTTATTACCATTCTTTAATGAGAATGAAATGATTTCTAATTTTGGTGAAGGAGGAGAAGGAGTGGTGGAGGAATAATAATAAAAATATTTATTTTTTGAAAATTTGTTTTATCACCACAATTAGTGGCAACGACGGCAACGACAATGATGAAGGTGATAACGAGTGATAGTAGTAAAAATAATTGATATGTAATAAATAAATATCACTATTTAATTTTAAAGAAAAAAATTTCATTCTTGTTTATTATTTTTATTGTCACTCTTTCGTGAGAATGAAATGATGTTTAATTTTGGTGGAGGAGGAGGAGTGGTGGAGGAATAATAATAAAAATATTTATTTTTTGAAAATTTGTTTTGTCACCACGACCAACGACAGCATCAATGGTGGAGGTTGTGACAATAATGATGATAAAAATAATTAATACGTAATAAATAAATAAAAATATATCATTATTTTAAGAAAAAAATTCATTCTTATTTATTATTTTTATTACCACTCTTTCATAAGAATGAAAAAATATTTAATTTTCTTTCACATTCTCACTTTTTATTTTCATTCATTTTAACTAGACACCTATAAGATAGAAATAAGACTTTCATTATCATTTCCACTTATTCCATTTCTTGTTATCCAACAATACATTAGAATATCTGTGAGAAAAATCTTTTATTACTATAGATATATTAAAATTGAAAAAAAAAACTTGTACAAGTATAATATTTTTTTATATAAAATCCATTAAACTTTTTTATATTTATAAAATCCAAAATAAAAATTTTCACATCAAAAAATTCCAAATAGGTTAACATGAGGTCATATGTGGGTTTTTTTTGGTGCGAATAAATTGTTTTGGAATTGCATAAATATAAAAACTTCGATGGATATTTTAAATAAAATATTTTTTTAAAAAATAAGTTTAATAATTACAAAAACGACTAAAAATTCTTGACAGGTGCACTGTACAAGTCACTGTTATTGTTACTCACGAGCACTATGGTCTCATATTTAGGTTTCGTGTGCATTTTCATTTTGCAGTGGTACTTATACAATTTTCAAGTAATTTTCAGGCATTTAATATGTGAGTTTTACCAAATATTTAACTTTGGTCCTTAACGTTTCAAGTATCTTTTGTTTCGATTTTCAACTTTATTTATATTATAATTCGATCCTCAAATGTAAAGATGAGAGAAAAAATCACGATCAAGCTTAACGTTGAAATCTTCAACTACCAATCTTGTATTCAATTTGTTCATCTTTAAAATGAGAGTTTGATCGTAGTGATTTCAAGTTATAAAATTATTAAATGAAGTAGATCGGATTCCATATTTGAATTTTTGATTTGATTTTTTTTATGTGTATTGAAATGCATTCTAAGGTTCCAAACAAACTTTTAGACTTTATTTCAATGATTTTAAGGTACTTTTGAAGCAAAAATGATGTTGGAATTGGATTTTGAAGGCATGGAACTGGAATTTTGATTTATGAAGTTTTCTACACACTCGGGTTTGTAAAAAAATATGGACGGACAATGCACCGTTTGATACGCATAGACTAGTAGTCCGTTTATTTTGTTTTTTTTTAAAAAAAAAAGTGGGTAGGCTGCGTGGACGTGCTTTGGTTCCTTTTTTTTTTCTAATAATTTTTTTTTATATAATTGAATTTGGTGGAAAATTATGGAAAGCCAATCATTTTTTTTCCACAAAGTTTACTAATTATAAAATATATATGATATGTTTTCGTATTTTACAATGAACATGTATATTAAATTATATTACTATTATTATTTAAAATTGATTTTTTAATCGATTATTTCTTATGAAAATTATCATCCAATTAGTTTTTTATTTTTTTATAATTTTATTTGTTAATAAATATGTTTTAATTTTTTTTATATAGGAACTTTAGAATAAAATTTGATAGCAAGATTATCATCTCATTTTCTAAAATATATATATATAATTTCCCTGATGGATTCTCACATCTTGTTGGAGGAGGATCAATTCTATAATGACAATCCAATGCATTCGTAGAGAGGGCAATATGATTGCAGATAGATTGGCAAATTGGACTTTTCACATTTTTCTTCCATAGTAGTTGATTCGACAACTAAGCTCCCTTTGTCTTGTCGATTAGCTCTCCTCCACAACAAAATGGGGTTGTATACCTTTCGGTGAGATTAATCTTTTGTAGATCGTTTATGTGTAGGTGTCATGCTATTTGCTGATAGATTTTATAAGTCACCGATTTAGGGTCTATTGGATTTTTGGTTGATTCGTACAAAGCTTACATTCTGTATTAATTAGTAGTCCTATTTTTAGGTCCTATTATTTTAGTACTTTGTCGGGGTTTTAGGCTTCTTGCTCTTCCAGATTCCCCCGCCTTGTATCTTTTCCACAAATATTAATATATCGTTAGGGTACCGTTCTTTTTTTATATATAAAAAGCATATATATATATATATAAAATATTAAATGTGTATTTCATATAATTTTTTAAAAAAATTTGTAGAAAAAAATAATTAACTTTAAAATAGAATTTGCTTGTTTTATTTGCTTTCTTTTTACGTAATTGAAATTTATCGAAATCAATTTTATAATAATTTTTATCTTATTCCATTAACTTCAATTTTATTCAATATATTCCTTAAAAGTTATGTGTGTGTGTTTTTTTTTAATTTTTTGTTTTATGTTGCACACTCTAAACCTACTAAGTATAGTCCTAATGTATAAAAAATAAATATCAAATCATTAATTTTAATTGAAAATTAACTATGCATCTATAAACATAACACTAACAATTTGTTGTTGTTTTATTAAAAAATATTCTAAAATAACTGAAATAATATTTTAGAAGAAACATTGAATGATTCAAATATAGTTTTTTAAGCTAATATTAGTGATTTTTTTTTGTAAATAAATATATATAAATTAAATTTACATAACTTTTAAAAATAATCTTCTCATCAATATTAAATAAAAATAAAAAATGTTTTTATTTTTTAATTTGTATAAAAAAATATATCAATCTTTATTTTTTTAATACAGTCCTATGAAAAAAATTTATTAAATTTTGGATTAAATTTTTTATTTATATTATTGCAATTTTTATTTACATATCAATGTATAAGGAAGAATTAATTAAATAAAAAATTTTAATTAAAAATTGAAAAATTGGATTATTTGTTTTATATATATATTTTAATCAACGTATTTTAGTACACTTATTAGTTTTTTACTCGTGCCACGCCCGTTGGTGGGACAAAACATGTAAAATTATTTGAAAAAATCATTTCAATTTAATAGTTCGAGTCATATTGTGGGTCTATAAAAATATATATAATTAAAAGTAAAAAAAAATCCAATTTTATAATGATTTAATCAAGTTTCTATATTTAACTATTTCTTCTTTATGTTTTTCATAATTTTCTACGTAAAAAATATTAATTCTTTTTTATCCATGGATTCTTAAACAAAAAGAGAATTAAAAAAATATTAATTCTTCTTTATATTTATTCACACAAAAAAAAAATCAATAATATTAAAATAAAAAATTATACTTGAATCATTGAGTTAGTTATGCAAAAACATAATTTTATATATTTAATTTGAAAGAAATTGATTTAAAATATCTATACATAAATAAATAGTAAATGCTTAGTGTTTTGATAAGCGCATAATTGATTTTTATAAAAACCAATTATTCAATTTTTTTATTATAAATATACTAAGTGGGTTTAGAGCATGCATTGTAAAACAAAAGACATTAAAAAAAAATGTAAGGAATATATTGAATAGATTTGAAATTTATAGACTAAAATAAAATTTATTAAAAATAATTCTTATAAATTTTGATATAAAGAAGAACCAAATAAAACACATAAATTTCTCTTCTTCTTTTTTTTTTTGTTTTCTTCTTAAATAATTTTTATTTCTAAACTATATATGGTTAGTCCCTTTGCATAGACCCCACATGCATAGAAATCACCTTTTTGTTTTTTGACATTTGACTTTTAATTATTAATTAACTATTTTGAAACTATTTAAAAAAAAATTGAGACAAATTATCTTAAACACACTTTTAATAAAAAAAAAGTGCATTATAGACAAATTATATATACATATATCACATTACTATAATTAAACAAATTCTAAGAATCAATTATCCAAATTATATCAATTTTTTTTTAAAATCATGTTTTAAAATTTACTCTAAAATCTAAAGTTCGGAATCAAAGTGTAATCTTTGTAAAACATTGCATATAGAAGAGCTTTTTTGTGGAATAATGAATAATGCAATGCAAAATAGTAATAGTATTTTTGTGTGCATCACATAAAATGCCACTAAAGTACCAAAATTAATGAAAATTATATCGTTAGAAGCGTATAAAATGTCCTAAAAGTTTTTATGAAATTCATGAAATTGCCGTTGATGTCATTGTACGGCAGAGCATTAAATGCTCTGTCAAAGATGAAAATGAAAATTGAAATGCCAAAAGAGGACAGAAAAACTTGCAGAAAAAAAATGAGTAAAAAAATAATAGTTGAAAATCACTTAACGATAGAAAGGAAAATTAAATTAAACGAGGGGGTAAGAAAAATGAGCAAGAAGACAGTTGGAGATAAAGAAGAAAGGCACCAAATAGAAAATGGGGAGAATTAAACAAAAGAAAAGGAGCGAAACAAATAATGATTTATATAGACAGTCAATCCACAGTAATTTAAGTCTATATAAATAGTACAACGAATGGTGTTTGAATGTTTTGTTTTATTTTTTAACTAGATTGTTACCAATACTATACTGCTCGGATCAAACATAATATTTAAAATTATTTTAGTTTTAAGATTTACGTTAAACTGTAAATCAACCAAAATATATTGAAACATGGATTAAAAAAATATTCAATTTTATTATTTTTTTAAAATAATTATGTTTAACTAATTGATCATTATATTTTTTCATAATAGTTTTTGTAAAAAAACATATTTATTCTTATTTATTTGATTCTTAACTAAGAACTTGTAATAATCTAGAAAGAAAATCTAAAACTCTATGAATTTTTAACTAAAAATCTATTTTGTAAATTATTTTTTCAAAAAATCTAATACAAATTCTCTAAATTTTTAACACACACACACACACACAAACACTATCATTTAAAAATTTTAAGATTTCATCGTATAAATTTATTTTTAAAAAATAAAATAATCACATTATAAAAATTTTATTTAAAAGTACATACATAGAGAAAAATAAATAATATTTAAATAAAATAAAATTTTAAAATAAAAATTAATAGAGTGACAATCTCTATAAGAAATGACAATTTGAATAAAGAAATTTTAAATAATAAAAATAATATAATTTAAATATATGTTTATTTTAAAATATAAAAATATACTATATATATTTGATTCTCATCAAAATGCACGAGAAAAAAAATAGTGTTCAATATTCTAGAATATTCGCCTAAAAATATTTTTATAAAAATTAGGAAAAAAAAGAAAAAAAGATGCCTAGCTAAGAACCGAGCCCACGCACCTCGACATGGAGGAGCGAATCCTACCATGAAAGATTTAAAAAAAAAATTACTGCAATTTCTAGCAAGTTAATGTTGAATGAAAACATTGTCGAAAAATCGTATTTTTTATTTTTGGCTTCTCAAAGCCAAATTTAGTCCTATTTTTTTTTCAAAAATAACTTACAATCACAAAAATAATGTCAAAAAACTATTTGAGTCATTTTGATTTTAGAAAATAATTATTTAATCTTTTCAATCGAGTACTAACCATGACTAATTTATTTTTTTATTTTTTAAAATCTCTTCTTTTCTCATCAATATTTTTCATATTTTTATCTATCTTTTTCTTTTCTATTTCTTAAAAAAAAATTAAAAAATTACGAAAAGGACAAAAACATTAGTTTTTGAAACCAAAGAGACTAATTAACTTGTTTTTCTAAAAAAAAAAGAGACTAATTTATAATTTGCTCTTGAATAGCAATTTACTCCTCTCCCATGAAATAAGGAAGAAAAAAGGCAATAACAGTGGCATTAAATGCTTTGACAAAAAAGAAAGTGAATTGACCAAAAAGGCTAAAAGAGAAATGAAAAAACAAAATTAGTTAAGGGTAATTGTAAATTTTCACAAATCTACTGAGTGACGGTAAGAATAATTAAGAGTAAAAGAGAATGTCATTTATAATGTAGGGGAAAAAAAAAAGGGAACGACAAAAAAGGGTTAGAGAAGAAAATTAAAAAGAGAATCGGTTAAAGTCAACCGTGGATTTTCACAATTCCAGTTCCACTTAGTGACATTGAGAGTAATTAAAATAAAAAGAGAGATTGTTCATAACCCAAAAAAAAAAAAAAATATTCAATCCACAATAATCATCACCTGATTTAGTTACTTTTGCAACAATAATAATAGCACGGTCTGGGTTAACATATTAAAATAATTTTTTCAAATGATTTGGCATGTTTTATATGATCCACAACGAATTATCAACAACAAACTAATTATTATTAAAATTTATAAGTTTGAATTTTCTATTGCATGGAGGTTTTTTTATATATATATAAAAAAAGTGGGGATTTTGAACTATTCTGGTTTATAAAATGTGTGATTTTGATGAAATTTATCAACAAGTATAAAAAAAAGTGTAAAATTAAGAAAGTGAGTTTTTTATTTAATTGCAATGATATTTTCGTAGTTTTTACATGAATTAAAGCTAAATTCTTTCTGCGATAATTTTAAAAACACACCTACCATATAGGTTTAATATATTCAGAAAAAATTAATAAATTATCCTCAAGGCTGACTCAAAATTTAAATTCAAAAAATTAAAAAATTGAGCAAACTTTTTTAACTAAGAGAAAGAATACTTAAAAAACCCAATAATTTTTCCCTTGAGAATTGACTTAAGGTGTATTTCATAATTTAAAACATCTCTAATGGTACTTTCTACTTTTAGCTAGTATTTTTAATATAAATAGAGAGCATTATTAATTAAATAGATTGAAGATCAATGTCTTCTCTAATGTTACTCTCTCCTTTAACTCTTTATTTTGACAAAATCCATAAAATCTAGAGAGAATATTGATGAAAAGATTGAGTGACATAAGAAATAATAATTTTTATTCATGAAATATAAGATAAAAAGTCTTTTAGACTTTATAGTATTGAAAAGTTAAAAATACGCCATATCTTAATTTTAAAGATAAAGATTATGATAAAAAGAATATTAAAGATAAAATTTGAGATAAATCTATTTATTATAAAAAAAAATTCTAATATAAAAAGAATATCGGAGATGCTGATGTTTCGTGGTATGCCCTTTTGCATCCCCCTAGCTGCCGACCACGTGGCAAAGCTGTAAATAAATCCATATCTAACAAACAGAGCCTCTCTCTATGCTATAAATAGTAAGAGGCAGTCCTCTCCCTCTCTCTGTCTTCGCAGTGAGGTCAGACTAGAAATGTTAGAATTAGAAATGCAGGATTGAATGGATCTGAATTCTTTTGCAAGGAGGCGATCATCACCGTCGAACGACACAGATCAACAGCTAGCTGAAAGCTCAAAAATGCAAGTCAAGAGATTTGGATCCCATGCCACGAGGCTCACCAAGATCTTTGCTTACTGCTTGGTACTTTTGCCAATGATATTCGCAACGTCGTTGATCTTTAGACACTGGTCGTCTGATCGAACGATGGGTTTCGCGGATGCTAGAGCTCTTGAAAACGAGGGAGCCAAACTGAATGTCACGCCAATTGGAGGAGCAGGAGGTGAGTTCACATTTTGGAAATTGATTTTATGTATAATTTTTTTAAACCATTCTGTTGTTCTTAATTGCATGCAATAAGGCTTTAATTTCTTCAAATTAGTGAGTTGGGAGCTTTTTAGAAAACATTAGTTATCTATGATTTTATACATTTTTGTTCTAGTTGATTTATACTTTTGTAAATATTTCTAATGATTGTTGTATTAGTTGCTTATTGAGGTTAAAAGGATTTGTCTTTTACCCTCTTTGTCAATGAAAGAAAGCCCTGGAGTTTCATGTAAAGGGATAGCCTATTTCTCATGGATCGCAATTTTCTTTTACTATTACTGGTACTCTTTTACCAATACTGGTACTCCTTTTCAGCTCCTGCTGTATTTTCAAAATTGAAGATTCAATATCCATGTTAAAATCCTCTGCATAAAATATTCAGTCTATAATTCTGAAATCTTCCTGGTTCATCCGCCCTTCAACTCTCTCTATCATATGTTTTGCTAAATTGTTCTAACTTCCTTTTTGTTTTGCGCTTCGTTAGGCTCGGAGGATGCTTTTTTCAGCCTGCTGACAACTTCAATGACAAACTGCTTGGAGGGCTTCTTGCATCTGGTCTTGATGAAGCTGCTTGTGTGAGTAGGTACACTTCGTTTTTATATCGCAAGATTTCTCCCCATAAGCCTTCATCATATCTCATTTCTAGACTCAGAAGCTATGAGGATCTTCATAAACGCTGTGGACCAAATACTCTATCCTACAATAAAGCCCTTGAACAACTCAAGTCTGGCAACAAAAGAGGTTCGACAGACTGTAATTATATTGTGTGGATATCTTTTAGTGGCTTGGGCAATAGGATACTATCCCTAGCTTCAACATTTCTTTATGCTCTCCTGACAAATAGAGTCCTGCTTGTTGACCAAGGAAAGGACATGGTGGACCTCTTCTGCGAGCCGTTTCCTGATAAATCTTGGTTGCTGCCTAGGAACTTTCCTCTCATTGATCAGTTTGATAAATTTCATCAGAATTCTCCTTATTGTCATGGGAACATGCTAAAGAATAATGTTATAAACTCTTCAGCAAAATCAATACCATCGTATCTATACCTCCATTTAGTTCATGATTATGGCGATCATGATAAGCTTTTCTTCTGTGATGGGGATCAGTCTTTTCTTGAAAAAGTCCCCTGGTTGATTATGAAAACAGATAACTACTTTGTCCCATCTCTTGTCTTGATTCCATCGTTTGAGAAAGAACTGTTCAAGCTATTTCCTGAGAAAGAAACTATTTTCCACCATATAGGCCGATACCTTTTCCACCCTTCAAATCAAGTGTGGGGACTAATAACAAGGTATTATCGAATTTACTTAGCCAAGGCTGATGAGAGAATTGGCATTCAGATACGAATTTTTGATACTAGACGTGGTCCCTTTAAGCATGTGATGGATCAAATTTTAGCCTGTACTTTGAAGGAGAAGTTATTGCCTGCTGTAGACATGCAAGACTCTGTTGTCAATCCATCTGAAAATGCCAAATTGAAGGCGGTTTTGGTGACATCCTTACTCTCAGGGTATTCTGAGGATTTAAGCAACATGTATTGGGAACATCCAACCATGACCGGGGAAGTCATTGGAGTCTTCCAGCCTAGCCATGAGGAGTTTCAACAAACAGAAAAGGAGATGCACAACAGAAAAGCCTGGGCAGAAATGTACCTTCTCAGTTTGACTGATGCCTTGGTCACAAGTGCATGGTCAACCTTTGGCTATGTGGCTCAAGGTCTTGGAGGTTTGAGGCCATGGATCCTTTATAAGACTGAAAACGACACAACCCCTGATCCTCCTTGTGGCCGGGCCATGTCGATGGAACCTTGTTTTCATGCTCCTCCCTTTTATGACTGCAAGGCTAAGAAAGGAATCGATACTGGTATACTTGTTCCCCATGTGAGACACTGTGAGGATATTAGCTGGGGTCTGAAGGTGGTTCATGGTGGTGATGACTTATAGTTTCCACTTTTGTTTTCCATTAGTTCACCAATACTGCATAGAGTTTTAGATTTAGAATATAATCTATTTGCTAATGAATTGTAGCCGGAGAGCTTTGATGTAATGTTGTAGTAGTGAAGTGCCTGGTGACAAGGTGAGAATGTTGTAAGCTGAATTTAGCATTTCAAGTTGCAGATTTGTAGTAGGTAGAAAACAGCCCAGCAAAATATTCTGTTCGTCATGCCAGTCAAACAGCAAGGAGAACTGCAGCAAGAGTTGACATAATCTAGGCTGTGTAAGTTATGGTGAACTATGATCAGAGATTTATCTTCTTGAAACAGCTATAAATTGCAATCTTGCAGCCAATTTCTTATGTTCCGTAGCAAAATGTCCGGAGGTTTTACCTGCTTCACCTCCATGATGGACTTATCCAAAAGTTCGAAGAACGCAAGTTTTTCAGAATTCCAAACGTTGACACATTATGAGATTGAGAGATTGAAGCAGAATCATAAGAAAAACATCAAATTGAGAGTCAGTGAAAGTGGATTTGAAAGTAAGGCTGGATGTGCCCATTGGTTAAAGGTCAACCTTTCTTTCTTTCCTTGTGATTAGGAGAGTCGAATCCCTAGTATCCCTGCAATCAATTGTTGCCGGTGGGGTTTCCTATAATCCTATTCAACAAATTTCTCGTTCTGCAATCAAAATTCAAAATTGTAATTCACGTCCAGTACAAAATTCATGTTCATTTTCAGTTAAAACAAGAAAAGGATCTATGTTTATTTTTACATAATATTATTGTAGGAATCGGGTAATATTTTTCAGAAAGGAAAGGAAAACCATTTATCAAGTATCAAAGCCCAAATCGTCTTCTAAGCCCAAATCAAAGTGGCAGTCCTAACTCATAGTTGCCAACCGACGACGTTTCTCCTTTTCTACTTCTTTAGCAACCAGTGCCACCTAGAGGAGCGAAAAGCTACCGAAGAGAAACACACACAGCCGGAGAGAAAGCAGCCATGTCGTACATGAAAGGAGATTTGCTAACAAAAACCAGAAAGCTCGTCAAAGGCTTAGTCAAAGCCGAACCTTTTTGGCTCAAAGCCATGGAACAGTCAGCCTCTTTCTATCTCTCCTTCCCTCCCTCCTTATTTTTCTTTTTAAATTAATCCACATCTATAATTATGATAAAAATTCACAATCAATTTATTTCTCTAATGTTTATTATTGTTATTATCAATTGTGTAATAATCCAGTGCACCTCCAGCTACATTTCCTCGATCTAGTGGAAAAGTAGAGACGATCAAACTCCCAGAGGATCCTTGTATAAAGAAGTTCTTCCACAAACATCCTGAATCGAAAAGCGAAGATGCCATCAAGTACTCTCACTCACTCTCTCTCTCTATCTTTTATTCTGTGTTGAATTATTAGGTTTTGGAGAATACTGTTCTATGATTACAGATCTTATTAGCTGTGGCGTAATTTTATTTAGGTTTTGGTAGTCTTTTTGTTTTTGGAATGTCATAGTGGTCTGGTTACTTGTGCACTATGCAAGAAATGAAGCATCCAAGAATAAATAGATACATTGCAAGGCTTAGTTTCATCATAGTTTGTTTCACTGTCCGAGCATGGTGGTTATTAAATGATTTTTTTTTAAAGAAATTTTAATGTGTAGGTTTTTTTGTTTCTTTTTGGAGCTTGCTTTTAAAAGAAAAAAGTTCAGTTAGGTAAAGTTCGTTTCTAGTGTGGGCACTTATAGTTTTGCTTTTCACTTCGAGATTTTGGTTCTTGTTAAAGGTCTACTGAGCGAAAATGGATCAATGTTATCATATGTAAAGAACAGCGGAATTCGTAAATGTAAAAGAGTTTGCTTCAATTGTGTTTTATCTTTGTGCAGGATTTCTGGTTTTGAGCCACCTCCAGCTCGCATTTTTGGTTTGCGTGTACTTGAGCTGAAGGATCAGGGAGTTAGTGAGGAAGAAGCTATGGCTGTAGCTGATGTATGGTTTCTTGATTCTTGAATTTTCCTTTGCTTATGAACACAATCTCTTTCTTTTCGTCTTAGTCTCCTTTTGATTGTTTTAACTATTTATTTTGTCTCTGGGTCTAGATGGAATATCGAATGGAGGTGAAAGCTAAAAAGAAGGCATATGCTCGATTGAAACAAATCGCTAAACTTCAGGGGAGAAGGCCTCCTCCCAACCCATATCCCAGTGCCATTAAGGAGATCCAAGCAGAGGAGAAGAAGTATTTCCGGGCCCGTTTTTCCGATCCCAAGATACTTGCAATAGCGGAAAAGATGAAAGAGGAGCAGGCAATTAAGTCACGAGAAAGACTCAGAGGTAGCTGGTAATTTAAGAGTGGCATGCATCTTTTCCATTGCACAAGATGTAATGGTTGCTTTTAGCAGTCATCCACAGGAGATTGTTGTCCAGCATGTGAGAGTTTTTGGTATATTTAAGTTGCGCCTTCTTTTTTTTATGATTTCATTTGGTATCAAGTCCTGAGTTCTGATGGGGATTATATGGATGGGAGATTAGTGTCAGATTCTACTTTGTCTACTAACATGTTCTATTATGATGTTTTTGCTATGGTAGCTTGTCCAGAGTGAAATAAATTTTACTTTGTATTGTGAACCCCCCGTGTTGAGAATTGAGACTAACGTATTCCAGAGAAGGAATACTTAAAAGGCTACCCGAGGGCTGATTTCCTTGCCCTTTTGGCTTCTGCCGGTTCTGCCAAATGCAAATGTTTCTATTTCTCAACCTAGGCCGCAAAAGATGTCATTTTTTTTCACCCCTGCTGAAAGCAATTGAATACTTTTCCGGTCCTCGAAATGATGAGGTTGCTGAGTTTGTAATCATGAGCAAGAAGGTGGCTGCCCTAGAATCTCAATGCCATGGAAAGGGAGATCCACAAGTCTTTCAGGCAAAGAGCAACTTGAAGATTTGGAATAGGCAATTTAGATGGCAAATATCTCTGGATTGATTAAAAGTGCCATGGTTGCATATAAGATAATTGCATTAGGAGTATTTCAATTTTTGTTTTTATTTTTTAATTAATTACATGAATTTTAATTTTTTTATTTGAATACATTAATTTTTTTTCTAAACTATCAATAGAGTATTTCTGTCAAAATTTTTTATTATTTGATTACATGTTCATTACCTTTAGAATACCAAATTATAATTGTCTCTTTATTTTTTTTTTAGAATACATGAATTTTAATTTTTTCTATTTGAGTATATTACCTTTTTTTTTAACCGTTAATCAAGTACTTCTATCAATTTTTTCGTTAATTAATGACGTATTTGAATACTAAATTATATATTTTTTTCCTCTTTTAATGTAAGAAACTTTTTCTTCAAATCATTCTACCATTTAAAAATTAACAAAGAACTTACAAAAAATAAATAAGTTATATTTAGTTACAAAATCTCAATCTAAACTTATTAAAACTTTCTATTAAAAAAAAATAATTAGATTTTGAATGTGAAAATTGAAGAAAACACAAATATGATATTTTTCATTTAGAAGATTTATTTGTATTTTTCTTCAATTTTCACTTCTAAACCTAATTGACTTTTTTAAATAAAATTATTTATCAAATTTTGAAATGATAGAATAATTTAGAGAGAAAGTTCTCCTTCATTAGTTAACAAAAAAAAAAATTGATACAAAAACTTAATTGATACTTTTAAAAAAATAATATACCGAAACAAAAAAATTAAAATTTATATATTCAATTAAAAAAATAAAATTATAATTTAATATTCTGAAAATAACGAATGTATCATTAGTAAACAAAAAAAATTAACTAAATTAACGTACTCGCAAGACAATTATTCCGTTTGCTTACTGATGTTTCCAAGAGAAAAGAATTGCAATGTCAGCCACAAGAACTCCCGAGGCGAGGGAGAGATCCAACGTGGCTGCAAATTGCGATAAATTGGTGAGCATAAAAACGAGACGCTCATATACTCTCTCTAAGTTTCCGCACCATCGTGTGGGAGGCATGACTTATTTTTATGAAATTGTTTTGACTAGCTTTTATGCTAGGCAAAGAGACACTATTGACAAGAGCAACATGCTCCATTTGTTTGACACAGAAAAACATATTGCTCAGCGCTATTCATGAAGGTATAAGTATGGGAAGTACAATTGATAGTCCCCCCTGCTATCCAGGAGAGAATTAACATGGCATGGCAAAGCCTTCTGCGGTATAACAGCACCTGCCCCGACCCACCGTCTGCACAACACCCAAAAAAAAAAAAAAAAAACCAAATTTCCGACAAAATACGCAGACAAAGAGGTTGATATGTCTCGTAAAATCACTAGACATTATATCGACAATGATACTCTCAGGTTATACCTGTCCACTCCTTGCCTTCGGCTGGACTTCAGGCTGGTAAATAGACAAAGAATAACCAATCTTCTTCATCTTAATAAATTCATTTCATTGGTCACAGAAAAAGTAAAAGAGCCACTATGTCCACAGCAACAAAAAGTGTCTAAACACAAATTTGATACTGCTCTTGCCATGGGTCCAAGAATCCTCTATCAGAAAGGCAGCTCCATCAATTCTTTCTCCCTTCGCACAAGATTATGTGATACCCATGTCTGCACCAATGTAGAACTAGTCATATAATATAGAAGCTAGCAAATTTGCATACAATCATAGTGTAACTGAAAGGCAATCAATAATCTTAAACCAGGAGAATACGGTGAAGATAGAATCTATTAAAACATACCATCATGAATGAGAAATTATAATGTTACATCACAGGAATAAATTATAAAATCAAAGAATGGTCATAAATAGCACATGCTGTTGGCAGCAGGGGGAATATTGGAATAGAATCAGGATTATAGCGAGAAAGTATCATTTTTGTCAATTGAATATTGTACAGTAAGTTAGTTCCTCAAATCTTCATGGACAAATGGACATGAATGTCAAATGTTTTACTCTTAAAATCCTGTTTGTTTACAGGAATCATGCGTGGAAGTAACATGATTTACTAGTGTTTGATGCAACAACTTTTTATCTACATGACTTTCCATATTTAGTCATGTTCTCAACTAGTTTTGAATGTGATTCACCTTTCATTAGACAGAAAGAAGTGGAAGTGATTATATGTCCAACTTGAAAAGACATGGATAAATATTTAGGTATTGCTATTTAGTCTCAAAATTCTGTCATGCTTTTGGTGAAGGATAATTTGCATATAAAGCCATAAAGACTCTACCGCACAGCAAACCGCAGTCAAAACAATTCTAGCAGAAGAGATAATTGCATAATCAGGAATGTTGATACATACGTTGACTTGAATGGTGCACTTGAAGCTCCAATTTGAGTGCTAAATGCCACATCTTGAAAGGGACCAGCCATCTTTCCTCGAGGGAACCATCCAAGGTCTCCGCCTTTCTTCCCTGATGGGCACTCTGAGTACTCGGAAGCCAACTGAGAAACCAAAAAGGATAAAGTTTTACATAAAGTTCAATCCCGGGAAAGCAACAGGGCATCCAGGCAATATTAACAAACTACCAAAGCAACACCCAAGAATCCTTTAGATATTTTAAATGACCAAAAGTTCAAGCCAAATATATCCAATATGCCGTTTGCAATTTATCATATCACAAGAAAATAGATCCAGATTTAAACAATAGTCTCTTTGCTACAGCAAGAACAGGCCAAAAAAATTGCTCTAACTTCTGTCTATACTCAATAAAGATTCAGAAACCAAAGTTTTGATAGAAAAGATCATAGGTGGCAAGTTCACCTTAGCAAACTCAGCTGGAGGAACCTTGTCACCATTGCTTAACCAACCATCCTGCAACTTCTGGTATGCCTCATTGATCTTGCCTTGCTTCTCACATAGTATATGCCTTGCTGAAATAAAAATTAAAAGCAGTTAAGAATCTAAGAAACTGGAGGACTGATAGGTCATGTGTGTGGTACGAGCAAAGTAAAGGGATACAATATTTGAATGCCAAAAGTCTTATGTGTCCCCTTGAACAAAGCCAAGTTCATGTTGACAAGATAAAACAGGAAACAGGTACATAGTTTGATCAATAGTCTACGAGCATGCCATCCTGAGCACAAATTTCTAATCCAGGGCATCCAAAATTTCTCTTTTACAATCAAGTTTCTAAATAATATTCTTTAATCAATAACATTAACAAATACAACTTCCACAAGGATTGTAAAAGATCATTATTCACTTGTAAAGCAACAAAAAAAAAAAAGAAAGTAGTGGAGTATAAAACAAAAACCTTTGACATAAGTGCAAGTGCCGAGCCCATCTGAAGCCTTTCCAGATTTTCCTTTCCCCTTAGAACCGTTTTCATCACTTCCACCGCCTGCCTGCTTTCCCTTACCTTTTCCCTTCGCTCCAGCGTCTTTTGCCTTCGAGTCCTTTCCCATTTAGCTTACAATCCTACGCCAATACCCAATCATGAGATACAAAACCCATTACCAAAAATAAAAAATTTAAAGAACAGTACCGGAAAAGGGAAATTAAATAGCAGTAAATTAAAACCACAATATACAATAGGCGTGCAAATTAACAGTCCAAGTACACCAAAAACAGAAAATTAGCTAAAACGGTAAGATCCATGTGGAAATCATCAACAACCAATATCGAATTTTGCTGACCAATACACGAATCTCACAACATAAAGCAATCACAATTGCAATAAATCTGAAACTATAAGACAATCATTAAAATTGGAAAATAGAAGCTAAGACTTTCAAACTTTTAATTACAGTTTATTAATACTCTATGAGAGAACATGAACCCTTTATTGTTCCCCGAATCCTACGCCTAACCTGAGCTCTGAGTTCTAACCTCAGAATGGGGAGTTGGTCAGTTCGGGACTTCGGGTACGATATTCTTGAACACCGAAAGAAAACTAACCACAAACTTGGAGATATTAACAAGTTTATCCGTATCGAATGGGCTGGTAATGAGTCGGCCCAAAAACATTATAACAAAAAGCCCTTACTTTGTCAATGTAACAAAAGGGCTCGTGAGATTATTAACCGACCATTATTGGATGAACCGATTTGATTACAATGGGGTTACCACCTTTTTGTTTTTTCAACTGTAATTTTTGCTGTTTTCTATAGTAAGCTACAAGAATGGTGAGAAATCATCGTTATATGAGAAATTGTTATTTTTATTATTAGAGTAGATATTGCAATGGGGAACTTTCCAGTTAGTAACCATGGAGAAATTGGAATTGTTACAGTCTTATAGGAAGATGTTACCACAATATATATATATATGTATAAAATCTATAGAAAGATTTCTGAAGATATATATGCAAATAGATTAGCTTTCTTGCCCAAAGAGAGAGGATAAAGTGAAAGGAAAAAAAAAAAAAAAAAAAGATGGCACCTAAGTCATAAGTTACCTATCTCGAGAAGGAAGAACAAAATCTCTCTTAAAAAGAATATATATATGCAGGTAGAACATCATTCCCCAATGTAACTTTCACTGTTTATGTCTAAAGAGAGGTAGCAAAATGCAAGCAAAAATGTGATTCCCCACACAGACTTTAATAAATCAAGATGCTTTCCCACCATTGATTTTGAATCAATGAGGTTCTTGTCTCATTTTTTATCAGTGTGTATTATTGTCGCTGGAATCACAAATACAAAATAACAATTTCCTGCTTTTTAGAGTGCTTTTGCTCCATCGCCCATTTCTAACTCAAGTTCACCCACCCGTAAAACCAAGGCTTACAACCGAAAAAATAATTTTTTTATATATATATATTTTTTTTGACAATAATGGTATATTTAGATCAAATTGTATGTTAATTGAAACTAATTTTTTCACCGAAAAATATAAAAAAATACCTCTCATATCAATCTCATATCATATCAATATGATATGTTTAAAAAATTTTAATAAATTTATTTAAATACTTGAACCAAAATTTTCAATCTATAAAAAAAAAAAAAAAAAAAGAGAGAGAATTAAACCTTCTTAACTATCATCACATCTACTTAAAGCTACCAAATTTTTTTTATAATATATAAGAAGTAGCTAATTATATATATATATATATATATGTATATATATAAAAGTAAAATTTTATAGTACATAAGTAAAATTTGTCGAAGCTATTATGCAAATTCACGTCTTATATTTCGTTCTTTAACAAGTGAGCCAAACGACGCCTCTTCTCTTCCCAGTTCCAAAACAGGTTGTCAACGTTTTATTTGTCCCTACTACAAGAAAATCACACTTGATGCACCACTCAATCTCCACCACTTCTCTCCTCCCATGGAAGTTACACTATCCCCAGCAGCTTCAACCTCAACACTGAAAAACGTTAACGTCCTAGCAACTTCCATCACTCAAAATTTAACTACCTCAATCCTTACATGGCCTTCTACAAAACCCAAACTTCTCAATCTTTATCTCCCAAATAATCCTATCCAAAGAAACAGCACCCGACTCTCTCTCCCTCGTTGCTCAACAAAACCAGACACCAATACAAACAACGAAACAGACCAAAACTCCACCTCCGAATCCGATTCAAACCCAAAACCCCAATACCCATCAACAGCCATTTCTTCAAATGATTCGCTGTCCTCTTCTTTGCCACCACAATCATTATCTAGAGGATTGGTGTTTGATTTGGGTCCACCAAATTCATGGGACGCCATAGAAATTGGGTCACCAGTGGTGAAAAGATTCTTGAGTGATGAGGAAGAGAGATGGTACATGTGGTACCATGGGAATTCTAGTCAAAACCCAGGCACGGGAGATTCAATAGGAGTAGCAGTTTCAAGCAATGGAATTCACTGGGAGAGAGGGGTAGGGCCTGTCAGCTCAAGCGGTGATGTGGGTTTGGTTTTGAAGTGTGGTCAGGATTGGTGGGCATTCGATACAATGAGCATTAGGCCCGGTGAGGTGGTTATAATGTCAAGTTCAAAAGTTAGAGCTTCAAGTGCTGTGTACTGGCTTTACTACTCTGGTTTTAGTTCTGAGAAGGTGGATTATATGGATGATGATTTACAAAACCCAGAAAGGTTTTGTCTTGATAATATGAGTAATGGAAATGGTGATAAAGGAAAGATCTTTAAGTCTCTGCCTGGTTTGGCAATGAGTCAGGATGGGAGGCATTGGGCTAGAATTGAAGGGGAGCACCATAGTGGAGCTCTGTTTGATGTGGGGTCTGAGAGAGAGTGGGATTCTTTGTTTATTGCTGGTCCACAGGTTGTTTTTCATTGTAATAGTGATCTTAGAATGTATTATCATTCGTTTGATGCGGAAAGTGGGCAGTTTAGTATTGGGATTGCAAGGTCAAGAGATGGGATTAATTGGATGAAGTTGGGGAAGATAATTGGAGGAGGAAAAATTAGTTCTTTTGACGAGTTTGGTGCAATAAATGCATGTGTTGTGAGGAACAAGGAAGATGGGAAGTATTTGATGGCTTATGAAGGTGTTGCTGCTGATGGAAAGAGGAGTATTGGATTGGCAGTGTCTCCTGATGGATTAAAAGATTGGAGGAGATTTCAAGATGAGGCAGTGCTAAAGCCATCAGTGAAAGATGGCTGGGATAACAAGGGAGTTGGATCTCCTTGTTTGGTTCAAATGGAAGGGGAAGCTGATGAATGGAGGTTGTATTATAGAGGAGTTGGCAATGAGGGAAGGACTGGAATTGGAATGGCAGTTTCTCAAGGAAATGATGTTAGTAGCTTTAAACGATGGATAGGATTCCATTTATAAATAATAACGTGAAATATGTGATTCTGTTTTCGTTTGTTTACTTGTCATCGTCACCTAAATTCACCATAGTTTGCTCATGTGATGAAGCAATAAGTTATTGGACACATTTTTAATAAGTCGTTGCCACTGTATACGTGAGTGATGATAATTTCAGCCTCGGTAAATTAATTTGTTTTGCACCTTTCTGTTAATCTGGCAAAACAAGCTTGGAGATGATTTAGACAACAGCCTTGTAGAAGTTTCGTCGTGGACCTGGACCTAAGCATAAGCTTCTTCAAATGCTTTTTGCTTTAATCTCTAGCAGCGCCCGTGTCCATCGGACCTTCATTTCTTTTGGACATGTTTTCTCGTTTTGCATTATCGGGCCCGAGTCATTGGGCTTAGATGAACATTACTTCACTGGGGAGTTCTTTTGACGGCCTGTGTATTCAGATGGCCTGATGACAGATTAAAGTTCTGTAAGGCAGTATTACTCTAAAAAAAAAAAAAAAAAACAACAACAACATGATTTTACTATTTATTTTCACTGTTTTAAATACTATTCACACACTCACAAATCAGTATTCATTTCACTATTTATATCTTTTTTTTAGCACTTTGGTCCTCAATTTTTCTATGCTTTTTTTTTCAATTTCAAACTTTAATTGTATTGTGATTTGGTCTCATTTTGTTTTAGTATTTTCTTTTAATTATTTTTATTGTTTAAAATTTACTATTTTTATTTTTTATTTTTTAATATAGTCATATGTGATTAATATTATGATTATATTATAATATTATTATTTTTCTACACTACTAATATACTATTTATTTGTTTTTGAATTAAATAATTAAAATAATATTTTGACTTAACCACTCAATGATTCAAATTAATATAGTTTTTTATTTTAATATTATTCATTTTTTTGTAAATAAATATATAAAAATTAAATTCACATTTTTTAAAAAATTGATATTCTCATCAATATTAAATTAAAAAAATTATTTGTTCAATTCTAATAAGCTTTTAATAATTGTTATTTATGTTTTTTAATACAATCTTATGAAATACTAAAGCTTTTTAAAAAAATTGTTTAATTTTCTTTTTAGTTAATAATCCATGGATTAACAAGGATAAATCATTTTTATAAAGGAAAAATTATGAAAAACACAAATAAGAAATAGTTAAATATAAAATTTTTTATTGAAAAATAATTTTTTCACCTTCAATTTCATATATTTTTCTAAATGATTTTATATATTTTATTTAACCCACGAGTGTAGCGTAGATAAAAAAAACTAGTAATAAAGTATGTAATGTTTTGGATTTTTTGGATTCAGATTCTCTCATCTTCTCTTTACTTTTTAACTCATCATTTAAAGTCAAATTACATAGATATAATTTAGTGCATAATATTAAAAATAGTGACGGTTTAATTTATGATTATTTTATTTTGTATTTAATTCAGATCATCAAATTCAAATTAATGTTCATATTATTAAAAAAAAAATGATTCAAATCCATATTTTAAGAAGGAAAAAATGAAATGATTCAAATCCATACTTTTTGACTTAAAAAACAGTAAAAAGTTTTGATTTTTGAAACTGCCAAATTATGTCACGTTATGAGATTAAGACTTATCTGGTGCTATTGTCAACCAAAGGACTGGGATCTTGACGTGAGGGCCTAGAATGCTTCCTCCAACTCTGCTGTATATATGTTGCTTTATATGCTCCTCTTTTATCCTTTTCTTTCCAGAAACCAATAAACTGACGTGGACTTGGGTTTTCAGATAGGATTTTGTGTTATTTATTGGATATATGCAGACAATCAACAATCTGATAACAGCTAAGATTTATGGGATGCCATTTTTTTTATTCCGTTAATTACCAATTCACAAATCTCAATTATGGAATGGTGAGTTGGTGACATAAAATACCATGATTTGTTTTGTGCCAATTGGATTGACATTGTTAATCAAACTGGGAATTAATTATGGATAAATATCTATATGTGAGAGATGTTGTCTAATGCCCATTCCTGAAATTGGATATGATTTTGACAATTTAGTTATGAAAAACGTTTGAGGCTTTTGAAAAAAAAACTTTCGGATTAATATATACATTTATATTTATATAATACTCAAATTATTTCATTCATTTTTATATTTTTAATTGCATCATCTATGTTTTTTTAAGTATTTAAAATATTCAATCTATTTTTTAATTAATTTTTTTTATCATAGAGAATTTTTTTTTATCAAAATACCCTTTACTAAAAAAAAAAACTCTTAAAATCATATGACTTGTATTTTCTATTTTTGAATTATTTAGATTTTTTTATTATTTTTTTGCATTTCAATCCAAAATATTTCAGTAAAAAAGAATCATCTATGGTAGAAAAATTAATTGGAACAACAAATTAAACATTTCAAATCCTTTAAAAAATAAATAAGATGCAATTAGAAATCTAGAGACAAATAGAAAACTTTGAGTATTATATGCAAACATATGATTACATTTATTTTAAAAAATTATTAAAATAATAATAATAATAATAATAATAATTTTTACCAAAAAATATGCTGAAAAGTTTGGTATGATATATTATAATGTTTTACCAAATGGAGTGGGGTTTTTTTTGTCTCTTTTAGGGTATATGATTTACATGAGGGGTTTGGCCAATGAATGTCTTTAGAGCATTTAATATTTATAATTAATCACAGATTTTTTCATTTAGAATTTATTGTAAATATTTAAAAATATTAGCATGTAAAATATCATTTATTTATTTATTTTAATAAATATCATTGATTTTTATTCAAATATTTAGTTTTTATTATTTTTTAAATTCAATTCAAAATAAATGGAATTTAATAAATATACTCTAATATTTTTTTAACCGATGCACTAGAAGCATCCGTTAGCTTAATGAGATCTTAGAGATGCATCATCAATTCACAAATGCTCTACCACATCCCACAATATTTGGTCAGAAATAAAATGAGTAAGTATTTTTTGCGGTTTTATTTTCAATTTTTCTGACGTACTTCTACGTAAAAGTCAAAAAAGAATTGAGAAAAGTTTTCATTCAAAATAAAGATTTGATTTTAGAGTGCGTAACTAGTTTTGAAATATCTTGATTGGTAAGATAACAATTAATTAAAATCCTTAGGCGGTGTCAAAAAATATAAACTTTTCATAAACTAATAAATTAACAAAAGAATTTAATCAATATTATTTTTATTTTTGTCAGTTTAAAATAAATTTAAAGTTTCCAACTTAAATAAAAAAAAACATTCAAATTTTTTTTCTAGCTATAAATAAATTTAAAAAATTGGAAATAAAACTTTTAATAATATTTTCTTTGTGAATTTTTTATTTTTTTTCTAAAATTATAACCAATATAAAATATGACATATGTCCTTCCTTTCTTTTAAAAGTCAAATTAACTATAAAAAAAACATGGGTTGACCGTAGACAATGAAAACTGTTTAACAGACCTGGCTATAAATATCTAATTTTCCAAATTCAAACCTCAAAAATATCTTTATTATAAATCAATATCCCAAGGACTTTGAGTAAACTATAAATTAGTCTCTCTCATTTTGAAAATGAATTAATTAATCCTCTTAGTTTTAAAAACTAATTATTTAGTTTTTTTCTATTTATTTTTATTTAAACAAATAAAAAATTAAGTAAAAATATGGATAAATTGATGAGAAAAAAGATATTTTATAAAATAAAAATATTAAATTAATCATAGTCAACACTAGTTAAAAACAATAAATAATTAGTTTTAAAAACTAAATACACCAATTAATTCGTTTTTCAAAACAATAGGGACTAATGTATAATTTACTCCAGAGACTTCTACTGCAATTAGACTTTTTTCATTGAGGACAACACTACCTGTAACCTGAGTTTTTTCCTTAAATATGATACTTTTTAATCTATTTTTTAAAAATAAGGTATTTTAAATCTTATTTATAAAAAAATGATAATTTTTTTTCATATAAGCATCAATGTCATCTTTTTAATTAAGTGTTATAATATATATTCAATATAATATTTTAAATAAATTAAAAACATAAAAGAAAAAAATTAATTTACGTTCTCTCTGTCTCTTTTTTGTTGTTTTTATCCTAATTTTTTAGAGTTCAAATACTCTCATAATTCAAAATCACAATTACTAAAAAAGTTCTTTAGCATATGAATATTATCAATTAAGTTGGGAATATGACTCTAGTAAAATTGTAAAAGCGACGAGGATTGCTACTACCAACAAGAATCCTACCATTCCGAACCAAAATTGATATGGAATGATACACTCTTGGAATTGTGCTTGGATTCTGTAACTCAAATCTTGACCCTACTGGGTTGTTAGGTTGGTATTAGATAGGCTTCGAGGCTGGATTTCACCCATCTTCCCACCAGTAGTACCAGCTTTAGCACTATTTATGATCAAAACGTTGCTATTAAGAAGCAGTATCATGCCATTCATTACCCTACCTTAAGGCATAGTTTATATAGATCATTGTGGATTCTCATCAGTTATCACAATTCGGCCGCATGTATCTAAAGCTTTGACATGGTTACCTATTTTCGCTTGCATAAAAGAGCCTTTGGGTGCACCTCTATACACCAAAACTTCAACAGCTACAATATTATTTGTTCCAGCTTGTAACATCAAAGGAAGCAACACTGCAGAACCTGTGCTAGGATAGTTTGTCAAAACATCATACTCTATGAAATGTGCGGTGCAATCAATTTTGTACACTTCTTCCCCAATATCATAGCGGCACTTTCTTTTTGGTAGCGACAGATTCCAATAGCTAAAGTGTGTTCGATCAAACATTATGACATATTCATTGTTGAGAAGTTGCATAAAAATGCGAGTCCATACAGAAAGAAGATAGTATAAGAGGAGATTGGTTTACGATGATAGCATAATTTTTTAATAAAAAAATAAAAATAAAAATAAAACTGATATATCAATATATTAAAATAAAATAACTTCTATTTGACATAAAATATTTTATTATAAAAATAATTTTAAAACTATACTATTATAAGAAATAAGATCAAAAAATATTTTACTATGAAAAACAACTCCGTGTAAGCTATGCTATAATTGGAAAATTTTTGGGCAGTATGGGCAAGTGCCAGGATGCTCGTGACTTGCATTTGTAAAACCATGGTCTGAAACACAGCGAATGGGTACCTAAGGCTCAAACAAAACATGGGCTAATTAATTTATGCCCCATGGATCTTCTTTAAGTGCTTAAAGGAGATTGGGTTTTATGTCTAAAGGACGGCACATAAGCCCAGGCTTAGGCCTTCCCCATCCATCAAGCGCTCGAGTAATGTTTCAATTTTTCTTAGTTATATCCTCAGGACCTCAACATAATTTCCAATGTCCCTTTCCTGAAATCAAGCTAAATTTATAATTATCATTTTTTTTATACATAAGGTATCCCGGCCCAAAGACTCAACCTAATTTTTTCATTTTTTATCCGATCGTACAAAACAAATATAATTATTTAAAGAGTTTTATATGTAAATAAGAATTTGAAGTCTCTTGAGTTATGATTATTATTTTTTGTGTAACTGTGAACATTAAAGTGCAAACAATACATAAATTTGGTGATTTAGAATGCTCGATCAAATTTTTTAATTGGGATTTATAAATTATTTTCTAATAGTTTTATTAAATGAGAATGTTGCATATATGACATGTGATCGAACCAAAAACATTAACTGTAATGTAGTAATTTTTAGATCTTCTAAATTAATAAATATAAAGAGTATTTTGATCTGAAAAGGAGTTATCCACTTACTGAAGGGATTACACCCAGTGGTAAGTCAGCTTTTTATTGATAGAACTCATCACCAATGTGATTTATTCTTAACCCATCATTTTCCCTCATTCTCTCCATCCTTTGCCTTTCCGTTTTCTTGTCAATATCTTAAGTGCATGTTGTATGATACTTGAAACTTTGCCATAGTTGTGAGTTTTATCTTCAATGGGAGCTAAATTTCAAATGGATTGGAATATTTCTGTTTCCAACTTGATATTATATGTATGTTTAATTAGCTTTTAAAATTGACAAGTTATATATATATAAAGCTAAACCTATTAATTAAGTAGACCCACGCCATTAACAATACGTGCGAAATCAAAAAATAAAAAATATTAATACTATTAGAAATTTAATCTCACTCATCTATATAAAAAATAAAAGTATAAAATATATCAATCACAAAAACCCAACCATAAGAACAATAAATTTACCTAAAAAATATATTTATATCATTGAGAAAAAAACTACGAAATGGATTTCTAAATAATCACTATAATAAATAAATAAAAACAATATAATCAGTACTCTAATTTCTTCATAAGTTTAAAAAGCAAAAATATTGATAACAATATAAATTATTTTTTTAGTTAAACCCATCTCATTATAAAAACTAAAAATCCACAAAATTTTAATATTTTTATAAAATACAGTACTATATAAAATCATCATTTTAAACCCTATAATTTTACAATTGTAGTGCTCAAAAATAAAAAATCAATAATAGAGAAAGTATAACTTTCTTTTGTATCTATCATATGTCGACAAATTCCAAACAAAATTGCTTTTTGCTTTTTCTTCCTTTTTTTTTTCATCACCATGCATGCACACACTTCAAAATTTGCCCTTCAATTTTCTTTTCTTTCCAATTCAGTAATTTTTCTATTTGATTTTTTCTTAATTAATTTCTTAATGTGATATGTTAAGGCAACTCTTACGCTGAAATTATATCATAAACCCAACAAATACATATATCAACTTGTTGATCGTAGAAAAAAAAAATAAGATGAAGATATAGGTAATTGCATAGGTAACTGCTTTAGGGTTATCTTGTAGCTTGATGAAGAATCCATAGCTTTCTAGTTTCACCTCCTTTTGTGCCTAGCGCAAAAGGATCATTCTCTCCTATATACATTTTTTTTGTTCCTTTTTTTGCATGAGTGATCCACAATTTTATCTCTTAATCATCCAATTGCCTTGACATAATCCTTGGGATTCTAAAGTTTTGAGTAAGCTGAAACTACACAGCACATGTCACATCAGAAAGATTACACAACATCTTTCGTTTGATCACCACTATATTAATAATGCTTATATTTATGTCCACATGAAAAACATTGAAAAAATGTTAAATAATAAAATTTTTAAAAAATAGTATAAATCATATCTTTACGTAATATCTAATAATTTAATTATTTTAATAATTTAATTTTTTTACATAGTAATAGAGTCTTATTAACCTAATGATCAAGATTATTTTTTTCTAATTAATTAAACACAAAATAATATAGATCTATGTAAGTTTTAAAAAGCTTTTATTTAGATAATCATATTAAAGAATAATATAAATAAATTATATGTTATGCCTTATCTAATAATTTAAATTTTTTAATTGAAATGATTAGTTAACAGAAATATGGATAAAAGTGAAAAACAAATGAAGTTTGAAGCCACTGAATTAGGTTACGGCAAATAATTACAAATACATCAACTCCAGTAGATGAATCATTAGTTTTATCGACTCCACTTTCTTCAGCATCACCTTTTACACCATAAAGAATGAAACCAAAAATTAGGTTATGGAATCTACTGATTTTTTGAAAACCTTTCTGGCATCAGGGACTTATAGTCTCAGATGATGTAACTTCCCTAGATCATGCCAAATTGGAATAAAACCTGTAATTTAATCATCCACTTATACCATTTGTAATAAACATTAGGCGTAGCCCTGTCCTGATGATTTATATCAAGTTATATAGATACATGCCACATAAAGAACATAATCAAACAAGAAATTGAAATATCTGCTGCAACCTCACTAACAGGTAAAACACTCTGGATTCCTTGCAATGCAATTGAAATCAAACTATGGTCCTGCAACTTAATTAACAGGGATCATCCTCCTAGCACTAGTGACCACGATTTTAAAACATATAAGGGTCTTTGTAACAGAACTTCAGTCTTTCCATGTGTTATCATTTGTTTTGTAACATGATATAAAATTTTACAAGCATCGCGGTTGCAACTATAGATCAGTCGTTAAAAATTTATTTCTTTTATACTTTTTTATATTTTTTTCTTAATGTAAATTGTGTATCACAATCAATATTTTTATATGAATTACTTTTTATCTGCTAATATAAATATTGAACTTAGTATATTAGATAATATCTATTTTTAGCTATTAAAATTTAACATGATTAATTGATTATAAAGTACCATAAACTATTAGTCAACATCAGAAAAGTTTCCAATTTTTTTTTTCTGATTTTGGTCTCTAATCTTTATTTTTTTAATCTACAATTAAGTTTTTTTTGTTCTTATTAACTAATTTCATACCATATTCAACGTACGTGAAAGATATATATTTTTATAAAATAATAATATGTGTCTTGTGTTTAGAGTTTTCAAGATAAATATCATTATTTTAATAGCTTTACACGTGCCTTGTATCATCTCAAACTAGTCAATTAAAAAAAAATTAATTAGAAATCAAAAAAGGTTTTGGACCTAAAAAAAAAAAATTGTCTTTTAACTTCTTCTTCTTCTTCTTCTTCTTCTTCTTTTTTTTTTTTTTTTTTATATCAATAGTTTAAAGTACTTTATAAACAAATAGCTTTTTTAACATATTTTACACATTATATAACTATGACTCTTACTTAATACTTGTATCGATTCAATTCGTGACAGCATTCAAGATTTTCTTAAAATAGTCATTTGAGATGTAAAGAATTCCTACTTTTCCGCAGGAAATTTTAAAGGATGTGATTTCGTTAATATTCTATAAGACATTACATTCCCTTAAAAATAAAGAAAGTGATTTCTTTCTAAAATGACGGGAATCCCAATCCAGGAGCTAGCAAATGAAAAAGTAATTTTTTGACTTAAATATCCCTATGATTAATATTAATTGCATCAATTACTAATAATAATACAATTTTTTTAGATATTGTGGCCTTATGGTTTCAAATATCTTTAGTAAATATTTATTTTACTTGATAACATTGTCAAATTTATAACATTGTCAAATTTACGGTTTTATTTTATTAAAACCTTATTTTTTTTTATATAAAAAATTTAAACTTCTAGTGGAGTCCATTTTCAATATATATATTAGTTTTCCAACTTCATATATATATAAATATAATGTTTAAATAAAAGAAAAATATTAATATTTTGAACTTTAAATATTGTGAGTTTTAAAGTTGAAATGGTAAATTAATTTGTTTGTATCCTTCATGAATTTTTAAAGATGAACTAAAGACACATTAGCTAATTATTTTCAATCAAATTAAAAAAAAAAATTACATTTTCATTCTAAGAAAACATTTAAAAATCTACGTATTTGTATCTCTACGTCTCAAACGATCTGTATGACAATTCCTTCAATAATTAAAGAATCTTCAACTCTTCTTTCTGTCTTCGAACTGATTATAGCAAGCTTGATGTTCCTCGTATTTATTGAAACAATATTATTTGGTCTGACATCTTCCAATTTACATCATCACTACAAACAGTCATCATGTTTAATTTCCTTTGCGGCTGAACATAATTTTTTTAGGGTTTTCTTATGAGGGTTTTAAGGTTTCAAAGAAAGAAAAATCAAATCAAACCGTTCACTCTATCCTACACATGTTTTTACATTGGTGCCCATAATAATAAACGACAATAATCCCACCGTAATTAAGAAGCATTCTGATCACTTCAAAAACTATCTCTTATGTAGTTATCTGTTTAGGATTCATTAAATAGTCATCAAAGATCTACATACCAAACA